GAAAAATATATGCTTCTATTGTTGTATGTAATTGTAAAATTTAAAAATTCATTTTAAATAATTTAAATACATTTGTAATTTGAATATTTATATATCCGAAATTACTCCGTTTTCAGATTAGTTAATGTTTGTTTACTGATTTATCAGATAGTTTGATGAAAACATTGAATTTTTCATTTCGTTAAATAATTTCTTCAATTTGTTATTTTCCATTAACCATTTCATTTATAAAATGCATTTGCTTTTGTTTTCTATTTATTCATTTAAAATAGTAATTAATAATTTTAACTGAATTATATAAGATGTTTATTTCTTCAATTTAAGTCAGTATTTTGGAGGATTATCAATTTCTTATCAATCTTTTGATAATTTGATGGACTCATTTGATTTCTGATCAAAATAAAGGAAAACAATCAGATAAATTTCTCTGCGTGTAGCATATTTTAGTGAATTAAAGTAAACATTTTATGCACTTTATATATTTATATGAAAGGAAAAAAGTAAACAAAAGCAAAAGAATTTCTTTAATAATCAGTACAAACGTTGCTGAAATTTAATATGACAAAATGCTTAATTTATATTTAAGTTACTATAATATTCTATTTTAACTTGGCAAATTTTAATTAAACAAGAAAATAACATAATTTTATGTGATATTATATCAATAACTTTGTTCTCGAAGTAAACAATATGATTGATTAGTTAAGTAAGATTAAATATAAGAACGATAAATTGAATTATTTAAAAATAAACTTAACTTTTTCTTTTGAAGTCAAATTTACTCATTAATATTTTATTTGCCAAAATTATAGCATTTTGCTATTGATAACATCTGGTGAGCCATATGTGGATTATAAAGGAAATGAAAGGATTTATTGGAATAAAATTCACAACGAATAATGTTTCAAGCGGTAAATTGAAGAATATGAAAGCATTGAAAATAATCAAAATGATAAAAGTATAAAGAGAGAGAGAGAGAGGGAGAGAGAGGGAAGCAAAGAAAGAATAATGCCTGATGAATTTGTTAATTTGTTATAAAAATCAAGGGAGAAAGGGAAATAAAGGAAGAGAGAGAGAGAGAGAAAGAGAGAGAGAGAGGGAAAGAAGGAAATAATATTTGATGAATTTTTTAATTGACTATAAAAAAAAAACTCTGTGTAATATAAGGAAGAGTGTGCATGATATATGAAAGACAAATGAGGAAAAATGATTTCAAGATGATTTCACTGAGAGTTATTTTTGATGATTGCCAGATGTAAAATAAATTTTAAGCAAGAAAAGAAGGAATAAAAATGGAAAGATTAAATGAATAAAAGTGCTATCGGATATTTTGATGAAATAAAAAAGAAAAAAGAAAAAAAAAAGTGATATTTGAGAAACACAATAATTTCAAACGTTTCGTCATTTTAAATTTTATAAGTGGTAAATATAAATAAATAAATAAATAAATTAAAAATAAAATGAATTAATAAAATTTGGAGAAAATTTTTCATTTTCTTTCATTATAAATTGTTTAATTGAGATCATTTATCATATCATATCATATATATCAGTATTGAATGTTACATTATCAATCACTGCAGATTTTCCAAATAAGGAAAAAAAATCCTTTCTCACCTGCAATTCGCATTATATTACTATTTCATACATTTTACAATCTTTATTTGTATACTATTTCGAATTGCAACGAAATCTCTGGCCATCAAATAGACGTACTATTTCCATATCTTTGATACACTCTCGTATTAACATTTTTCATCTCTATAGCTCTATAAATATTCCAATATATGCGCACTATTTCTTACATACAATATGGATAGCGAAGAAGGATGTGGCATTAGCGTTGCATGCAATGACTAATGCAATAAGATATTTGGGGAATGTACTCAGGCAGTTGATTTACTTTCATTTTCTTCATGATTGCAGAAAAAGTGCGATAAAAACCTGGAAGCATATCATTTATTATCTTGGGATTTTTGTCAGAAACTCTATCTAAATTGTTGTTTTCATTGAATTTTTTTGTTAAATTTTCAGTTAAAAAATTTTTTTTATAAGTTGCTCGTAAGCATACGTCTTATATTCATCTAAAAAACCATTTCAAAAACTGGAGATTTTGGATATCTTGCGTTATCCTGAAAGCATTCCACACTCATTCTCAAAGAACTTCACACACAACATTTTGATTATTTTTAAAGAAAGTTGCGCATCAGATTCATCTATTCTTGTTTAGAAAATTCTTATGTTTTAAAATGTTAAACAAAACTGATCAGCTGAACGTGAAAACACCAATAATTATTGGTTAGTTAGACGGAAGGTTACTTCTTTACCAAACCAGCCTGTAATAATTATATTTCAGGATGGGTGAAAGTGATCATTATGGCTTCTCGCTCACAACTTTCAGGTACATTGCCTTATTTTATTGTTTGAAATGATAATGGGAACTTTCTGAAATCATCAGTTTTGCTTTTTTCATAATATTTTATGAAAAGATTTGTCAGTATCTCACTAGGGTATGATTATCTAACGATTTCACGCTACATTTTAAATGAGTTCCCCCATTCTTTTTTTTTGAAAATTATAACTGATTCCTGTATTGTTTTTGATTATAAATTTTTCAAATTTTAGCCCTTCTGGCAAGTTAATGCAAATCGAATATGCTTTAAATGCGGTGAAGAATGGGCAACCATCAGTAGGATTGCGAGGTTTGATATTATTTAAATAACCTGTTGGAATCGTAAAACACTGTTATAAATCCATCTACAATGAATTTTTTTCCATTTTTGAAACAAATATGCCGTCAAAATGTTAGCATTTCGGTAACACATGCATATTTACATTTACAGATAATTATTTATTTAGCTTTGCTTAATGCCTGTGCGGCTCGCAAATTAGACACCATTTTATTTATTGCTGTTATACTTTTTCGGTATTGCTTAATGACTAAGTATTACAGCACTGGTGTTTTATAATCTAATTTATTTGTTCTATGCAGTTTCGGGATAAGTGCTATATGAGATCAACTGAAAGTAGAAAATTTTCTTATATGTTTAAAATATTACTGATAAATTAATTTCAGCATTAGATGGCGTAGTTTTGGCTACCGAAAACAAAATATCTGTGCTATATGAAGATCAACCGAAAGTAGAAAAAATTAGCCAACATATTGGTTGTGTTTATAGTGGCATGGGGCCTGATTACAGGTAAATGCATTTCAGTAATAATTCGAAATATCTTAAGCAGAAATTGCTGTAGCAACAGTGCTGTTTTAGATATGCTTTTGCAGTTTTAAACTTTTGGTGTGATGTTTGTCTACATCTTTTTGCATCTTTTAATGAGTGAGTGCTTTCATTCATTTCCCCTCCATTTCTTGATTGATAGGTGTTTGTTTGTTTTGATTAGATTACTTACAGATGCTTGTATTTATAACGCTTAATGAAATATAAAACTCTATAAATTGATATATTTAATATATTACATTCGTACGTTATTTTTCTGCTACTGAATATGTAACACATATGAACTGTTATCTGTTTTTCTGAATTTAGAATTGTATGTCACCTATCATATTGTCTTCTAGATTGCTGGTTAAAAAAGCGCGGAAATTGGCCATGGAATATGAATTAATGTATGGCGAAGAAATACCGACAACACAACTTGTAACAAAGTTAGCTGCTGTAATGCAAGAATATACTCAGTCAGGGTAGGTAATTTTGCTATTAGTTTGATATTTCTGTTCCTCCTTGAATGCTTAATGAATAACGGATGCGAATTAAAAAGAAAATAAGAAATGTATGCCAAATGGAATATGTAATTAACGGTAAAATATTTGTTTAAAATTAGTGAAAAATCACTCTGTTCCAAGCTCTTCTTTCGTCATTCGGGTATGTCCATATGGTAATTCAAAATTTTTTTAGCGGTGTAAGACCATTCGGTGTGTCAATGCTTGTTGCTGGCTGGGATTATGAGCCAAGTCCCGGTCGACCACTTTTGTTCCAGTGTGATCCTTCGGTAATATTTTCAGTTTTCATAATTTTAAATTACTTGAAATGATTATTCGATAATGCTTTTTGAATGTGTAGCTTAAAACTAGAAATGATATTTTACTTTATTTAGGGAGCATATTTTGCTTGGAAAGCAACAGCTTTGGGAAAGAATGATGTCAATGCAAAAACATTTTTGGAGAAGCGATTCAGTGATTCACTAGAGCTTGATGACGGTATTCATACAGCTTTACTGACACTACGTGAAAGTTTTGACGTTGGTATGACGGAAGATAACGTGGAAATAGCGATATGCAATAAAAATGGGTTCATGCGTTTATCAAAGCAACAAGTGAAGGATCATCTTGGTGCACTCTAATCAATGCATTTTTTATTATAGCTAAAAATAGTGCAGTCCGTTGTTTTTAGCGGTACTTATGTCTCAATTCATATTTGAAATGTCTGAAGTCTTGAGGTAATCCTATCCTTTTCCTGTTCTGATTATTTCTTTCTTTCATTGCTTTCTTTATATTCTTGCAATACTAAGGATGTCAAGAGGATTATATTTTAAAATAAAGGAATATCAAATTTTTGAGAATTAGGAGAAATAGTATTATTTGTTAACCTTTAACCTCTCTTTGTAGATCATCTGGATCTATGTGTTCCGAATCTTTAATATCGACTAATATGTATACCGTTGGAAAGTCAATGTTTTCCAATGTTTTCTGGTTTTGTACTTATCTAAGCTGCAAATAAAAGAAATTTAGAGAATGTCTTTTTTAATGTTCTTTTCATATCTGGAAAATCCATAACAGATTCTTCTAGAAAAGCTGTTATTTATTGCATGTCATAATATTCATGTATTAGTAATAGAGATCAAATCTATTATTTTTGATAGCGCATCAGACTCAGTTATTTTATTTTGTTACGATAAGACTCGCGATCTCTCCTGTTCATTAGCAGAATTGTTATTGTTTTAATTTATTGCAGTGGCTAGCCGATATTTGCGCAGAACAGGATATGTCGAAAACAAAGTATGTTCTTGTTTCATTGCAATCATTTCGATTCTAAAGTCTTGCCGTTATAGAAATTTTTAGGTATTTTTTTAATGAGAAAATATTTCTTTAAATACACTGTGGGAAGTAAGCTCAGAAATTTCCAAAAAATTAGACAACATTGCTTTACGTGTTGCTGATTGAATGTGAGGAAGAAAGAAAATTTACTGAGCTGTTTGATTTAACAATTATTGATTTGAGAAAAGCCTTACTGATTATATTCTGAAATACTTACTTATTTTTTCAGATATGATTTCTATCAAACAGAAACACATGTTTTTGTGACAATATTGAAACGTGGCTTAACACTGGAACAATGTAAAGCACATTATGTAGATGGTTGCTTAACAGTAGTAGCAGCGGGTGAAACGTTATTAAACATACGGTTATCTCATCCGATTAATCCTACATCATTAGAACTGAAGTGTTTACCATCCAAAGTACTTTGTTATTACTGTAGTTTTGTTTTTTTTTTTTTTGTAGTGGTAATAAAGTATTACTGAAAGAAGCAGCTTTGGTAGGGAGTTTAGATGGATTTGAATTTTACTGCTAGAAATTTCCAGTTTTTGAAATCTGAAAAAATGTGAAACTAGTTTCATCGTCATTATTTTATTTTAACATTATCATACTATCATTTTTCTTATTGTTATGAATATTTTCATGTTGAATTGAAAATGGCAAAAATGACATTAGATCAATGGGAAACATTGGAAGAGAAAAGTGAAGAAAACAAAAATAAGGTCTTTTTTAAATGTTTAATTATTTTCAGGTTTAATATCTTTATAGAATGATTGTTCTGGTAAGTGATATCAAAATATCGTATGTATTGAGTGTTGTTACACTTTAGTAATATCGTAAGGATTAACTTTTGCACTAATATATATTTGCTTATTCAGCAGCATGTTTTTTCGTTCAGCGTTTGGTTGCTTTTAAGCTGTTCAGGTGGAAAATCTATAAATTTTGCAAAATTGAAAGATGTTGTTTGACATATATTTTTCAGCCGGCATTAATTAGTTGGGATAAATTTGCTAAAGAAGCAGATGATGACGAAGAAAAAGGAGATGTCAATGTACTTTTCCAAGTGAGTTTATTATGTACGTTAGTTTTGCTTTTTTGAAACGTTGCAGAGAAAGGTATAAAACTTTATACATCCATAATTATTAGTTTATTCTTGCATGAAACATCTTAATCCTAAAGATTTGAATGTCGAATTTTGGATAGTGCATGTCGAGTCGAATTATGACTTGCTTATTTCGTTATCTATTTTTTAGTTATCCTCAGTAATAGTAATTTTTAGCCTCAGCATGCCTAGTTTACATTGTTCATTGCATCCAATCCGGCTTTCTCATGGAATGGAATTTCCCAAATTTTTACTGGTTTCTAATTCTTCCTAGAAATATCTTTTCAGAAATTATATAAAGATGCAGATGATGACACAAGGAAGGCAATGGTGAAATCATATACAGAAAGTGGCGGGACAGTGCTAAGTACAAATTGGAAAGAAATAAGTAAAAAACGCACGGAAGTTCGGCCTCCTGATGGAATGGAATTTAAAAAATGGTGAAATGCCACCTAGATGAAATTGTATAGTTTTATATGATGTATTGTTGTTTACAGTGAGTTCAGCTATTGTCAGGAGAATAGGATTTGTAGTTCTAAATTTATAAACTGTATTGTCACCTAGTGATTAGGATGTGATATACATTTTGCCAAAAAACGGGAACAATCGAAGATATAAGATTTCCTGAAAATTATTCGTAGATACTTTCCTACAGTGGAAGAAAAACACATTTATGAGATATTTATAAGATTATTTAGGAAAGCTATATGAATTTGGAAAAGTGAAATTAATGAATGTTTTCCAAAATCAGTTATAGTGGTATTCGTCTAGAATTAATACCCTCACTCTCACCCCTACTATTCCTAGAATTTATATTTAACTATTCTTCACAATTGAAATAACCTACCTTCCCAAGGGAGGAAAATGAAATGCACATGAAAATTGTATCTTTGTCAAAACCAAAAGTGATCATAAATAGTCTTGTCATTTGTATTGCAGTTATGTTGTGAGGAAAAGCAATTTCTTTTTTTTTTTTTTGTTTTCAAATAAATATGGCAGATGCAAAGAAATAGCTTGCTTGATTTTCACATTTCCAATATGCATGCTATCGGATATCACACATATGGATGATATATGACAACAGAGCATTCTTTCACTGTAGAACAAACATAATAGAGCATAGTGTGACTTACGCTTTCTACTCTGTAGGTCTTTTTTTTCTTTTACTGATAAGTAGATTCGAATATCTGAGTGATTCTCGAATTAAAACATTTCATAAGTAAAAGTACCATGATTAATCAGCCTTAAACTAGAAACAGATAAAATATGAATATATCCCATGGAAGGTATTTATGTGAAGGGAAGTTACTACGCCGGAATTTCAATAATGTCGTAAAGAGTAAACTGATATATCCAGAAGATATTTTTTTCAAATTAATAAAGTATCTTTGCATTCCAAAATTTCAAATATACTATGCAATTCTTGATAAAACCATAAAGTATGATTAACATTCCAAAAATATTTTACCGCCACTGCATTACTACATCATTATCATATTTAAATTTGCTGATTAAAAGTTTAATTTACGGTACATCAAAGTCTTCATCATCAGGTGCTTTTCGTTTTAACAAATTGGTGATTGCTTCCGATCGAGTTTGTCGGATTGTTTCTGCTGGTCGTACAATTGGCTCTTCCTTCCGGATCATCTGTTCATTGATTTCACGTAGCTGTTCATTACTCTAAAACATATTAACTGAATAACGAAACAAAAACTGAATGAGAAACTAAAACTTTTGTTAGTCAGCTTTCGCAATTTTAAAAAGTTTTGATTCAGTGACAACAGATTTGAAATTTTATGATATTCAGATAATTAATGAAAAACTACTACCTTCCATCCCACATTCGGCTGTACCAAACAAAATCGGTCATTTGGTAGACGTAATCCGTAATTTTGTCGAATTGCAGGGAGTGGCACAGCATTCTTTTGTTCCGCAAATTCGACCAGTAACTGCCTACTAGGTCGCTCACTTTTCCAAAAGCCTAAAGAAAACGAAATGAAATCAAATATCAGTGAATAATGCAGTAGAAATGGTACATAAGTATGCACAAGAAACATTTTTCGACAGGAAAAAAAAATAAAAAATAAATGCAACATTCAAAAATGATAATTATGAGTGTAATTTCATAACAGAAAATATCATTTAAAAAGTGAAAAAATTAAAAAAAAATTGAAATTGGAATTAAGAAAGAAAAAATTTGAAAGCTGATCACCAAAAAATGATTAGCAAAGAAGAGGATTAAAAGATAGACCTGCGTTATCAATAGCAAATTGGACATCACTTTCATCAATCTGCTTCTTCCCTGCATGCTCACTGATTGATCGAGCATCTTCCAGAATTTCTGCCGTATATCTGAAAACGATTATCATTATTATTATCATCATCATCATCATCACTATCAAATAATCGTACTTCTCAATATTACGAAAAACTTATATCAGCCATTCTTGCAATCTATTTAATGCATTAATGTGACTATAAATATATTTCACTTTATGCTTCAATTTAAATTTCTAAAAATAACATAACCTATAGGCAAATTCGAGCATCTGCGAAATTACACGTGGCTCGTAATCGGTAATTCCCATTTCCTTTAGAATAGCCTCCATAACCTGAGCATCATGCGGTATGCTACCCATTTAAATCAATCCCTACTGCTGATCTTGTCAATTCAGAATCAGTTGTATCTCGATTAGACTGGAAATTCAGATGTTAATTTCCAAACAAAAAATTGTCTTTAAATGAAGCAAAAAAAAGATAAATTCTCTTTAGCAATTCTCATCAGTAGTAATTTTAGTTTGGTATCGAAAAATTAAATCATAGAACTATTTCCTGTAAAAATTAACAAATATTACATTTCCGAGGAGAATTAGCACTTAATAAAAATAAAAAGATTCTCTAAAATTATATTTAATAGTAGTATTTCTCTTAGAGTTACATTAAACCAATGGAAAGGAAAGGTAACACTAGCATAACTCACATTTACTCGAAAAGAAGTACACAAATACGAATATAATTTATGAATAATAAAATTTAATATTTAAATTTGCTGCTCCATACAAACGCTATATCAAAATTCAATCAAGATAATATTGCAGTTTATTTGTTTAAAAGCTGATAAGTTAATAAAACACGAATACCGAATCTCCAAGAAAAAAAGAAGCAGTCGATTCCACAAAGATTCTATTCCTTTCTTAAATTCAAAAACAATTTATGAAAATTTTTTATGCAGTAACATTTCATGAATATAAATAAATTACAGAATACAATCACAATGATTATCTTCTGCAACATCTACTATAAGGGCATATGTAAAAGTCAAATATGTATTTCTATAAGGTTATTGCTTTTTAGGCATGCATAATGGCTCGTACAAAATCGGAAATGTTTACATTGCCGTGTGAATCGTCATGGCCAGCCAGAAGTTGATCAACCTAAAGAAGAGAAATATAAGAATTTATAGCATTTATATTATGAAGTAACAAAATTTGAACTTAAAAATATATTTAGAATCATATAAATTATATCGGTTAGCCTTTTTTTTTTCTTGAAATTATTAGAAAGCTTTCTTATTTATAATTACCTCTTATAAATGTGTTAAATCTTTTCAGAACCATTCACTAATTTTATTGACAATTTCTTTTTCATGAATTGAAAAAAAAAGATTTCAAATCGTGGAAAATTTGAATTTTTAACTTACTTCTTCATCTGACAAACGTTCGCCGAGAGTTGTTAGAAGATGTCGCAATTCAGCAATATTGATTAAGCCATTTCCCTATATCGACAAATTCCATATAGTTAAAAAATGACTTCCACATAGTTGCAAAACAAAAGTAACACAAAATGAAATCAACTACCTCTTTATCAAAATGAGACAATCCTTCCACGAATTCTTCTAGAGTATGGTTTTCGCGACATTTATTCACTGACTGATAAATGGGGACAAAATCTTCGAATGTAATACGAGTTTCTGGAAAAATCTTTTAACTGCTTCGATCAAAGATCATAAAATCTAAATTCATATAATATTTATGCTGTAACTGGAGAAGTTCGCCGAATCCTACTTTAGCGTTACAATTTTCAAAGAAAATCGACAAACATATGATAAAAGATGGTTAATATCAATGAGGCTTCTAATAAATTTGTATTATATTGTAATAATAATAAGATTTCATCGTTTCTTTTCTTTTTCTCGAAAAAAATAAAACAAAATTCGCAAAAATTAAGTAAGCAAATTAAAAAAAACAAATTTTTAACAACTATACCAGGATCAGTCCAATGTGAACAACATTTCTGGATCTCAGCTTCTGTTGGATTTTGTCCAAGTGCACGAAGAACATCACCAACTTGTGTTACTCCTATCCGTTCATCTCCCTGAATATATGAATCTAATTAGAGATATTGTTTAGAAAAAAAAAGCAATTTAATTACAGATATTAACCAACAGTCTTCTAAATTGCACACCTTTGAATCGAAGTAACAAAATACTTCACGACATTCCGATAACTGTTCATCGGCAGATGTCATTGTTATTTGCATAGATTACGATCTCAGTTGATTCTAAAATTTCATTGTATATTCAGAGATATAACTAGGTATAACATAATTAAAAATAAAAATATCAAATTCCAAGAATTTCAAAAAAAAAAATTACAATTTGTTTTTTTCCAGAACATCTCATGAAGAAAAAAAAAGTTCCTCAGTAAAGTTTAGTCCCATTAAAGTTTAGTCTAATAAAGCTTAGTTTAATCCCAGTAAAGTTTACTTATACATATGTTGAAATTATAGTTTATAACTTAACCTTCTGGAAAAAAAAATAACAATGCAAAAGACCTTATCAAAAACCATGATCAGTTTCAGAATATCACGAAGTAAGCAATAGTAAATGACATAATTAATACTTGTTCTACAGTGTTAAATTTAGATATTAAGATTAACACGATTCATCATTCTTTAATGCCCGATGAATCATTTTAATCTTTCGTATCTCACAACCATCGATTAGCTGTGTACTTATGATAGGTCAGCCTTGACCTAATTTTATTCTTCTTATCCTTCATATTATAACAAAGATATTTTAAAACAGGTATGTTTTAACATTATGCTTTGATTCATACGAATTAAAATCATAAACTTTTAATTAAACAAGTTATTTCAGCATGAAAATTTATTTCACATCATTTAACAAAGAAGGTAAGGAAACAAAAAACACAACTCAAAATTGTTCTAAATGACTGAAATCTGTCCTAAATAACTGCTAGTGACTGAATAAGATGGATTACAAGGAGCTAAACTAAGAACAGATAGCTTAAAATGAACGCTTTGACAAATGAAAGACTAAATATTTCCATCATTTAAACAGCAGCAAAAAAAAAAAAAAAAAGGAATAAAAAGTAAGAGATCAATGATACATAATTTACATATAAATGATTTATGCCATTCCACTCACAATATAAACCAATGAGGCTTCATTTTGTTCCACTGAAAATACTGCCATCTTTTCCGGGACAATCTCTGAAGCAATTGAGTAAATTAATTTTACTATTACATTGTGAATGATTGAATGATAAATGATTACTTTTATACTAAGTATTACTATAGATTATTAGTATTACATTGAAACCATTTTTCAGTTTAATCGTTTTTTTTTTATCTTCAAAAATTTTATCAATTTTGGTAACTTATAGATATTGTTTTCGTTTTTGTTCATTCCTTTCATTCATTCCATTCAAATCTTAACTAAATTTAACATTCATATTAGTTATTTTTCACTTATTTTATATCGTTATATCAGAAAAGGAATGGAATTTACTGAGCGATATTCGTGACATTGTGAAAACATTGGAAAAACTGCGAAGAAAAAGATAAATTGCTTTGATATCAACGCGTACTGTTCGCAATACACCTGGGCCATCTGCATTATTTACTGAAATATATGAATTTATTCTTTCATTTTTCTTATAGCAGTAGGTGACAAGAAATTTTTTTCATGTTAGAAGTTAGGACTAAGTTTATTACAATGACAACATAAAAGATTAAAATTAAGTTAAATTACGGTTCAAACTACAGAAGTGCTCGATGATTTAGCAAACGAAGTGGACTGATTGTGTTTCGTGATAATCTGAGACCATTGTAAATTAATTAAGACCATGCTTACAATAAAATTTCATTCAAAATGTGCAAAACGTTATATCAACAGTAATTTTTCTCAAACCAAATTCCTAGATCAAAAAGTTTTTTTTTTCCTATTTTTTTTTTTAAAATATCATTACCACCAAATCATCACCAACGCTTTCTAAAATTTTGTATTGCCCGCGCAGTGCTCCTAGTGATAACCTAAAGCAAAATTATAACTTTAATACAAATTGAGCACATATTATAAAATGAGAAAATGATAAACATTACCATGACTGTTGTGCAACGAAACAACGGAAAGATTCGAGAAATGTACGACAATGTTTGCCATATCTAAGTCACCGCAAAACTGAAGTTCACCTTCTTGATTTCCTTTAATTTCCTTAAAAAATAAAATTCTTACTTCTACACTAATTTTATCCTCAGCTTTCGAACATTATTTTAAGCCACTATGATAGAATTGATCTCATTTGCATAAGAAATAAAAACTTACCATATATTTTACTCCCATATTCTTGAATGAAATCACTAAGCTACGTATTGTTGACAGTGGCGGAAGATAAAGGGCAACCTAAAATTGTTTCAATAAGTATTAGCAAGAAATTGGGAAAATTAAATTTCTGAAATATCAAATAAAAAAAAGAAGAAATAGAAGAAAATATACTAAAGTACAAGAAAATACAAGAAGAAAATAAACTAAAGCATTTTTTTTTTCTTTTTTGACAGTCCTTCAAATTAAAATACCCACTAAAAAACAATGATGATGTGCACTACATCGAATCTTTCATGCAGTAAACAATAATTTTATCATATTTATTTAAAAAAAATCATTCAACATTACCTATTAGTATCCCGTTACTTATTACACCGCATTACTTGACTAAACCCCCTACCTAGCGGATGTAACTATCTGCAACTTTTCCGGACCAATCATGCTAATCGTTACCGACAAAATAATTTATTTTAAGTAATCTCGACCCGAAAGTTAACATTTATGAGTAACTAAAAATATTACATATTTTTTAAGCAAAAATTAATGCTACCGAAATATTATCTAAAGTAGGCATGTCGTAAGTTTTCCAATATTTGGTTGGAATCAATACTACAGGTAATTCATGAACCATCCCACATGATTTCTGCTCTACTTTTAAATGGGGTACATTGCCAAGCTTGACCAAACGAATTTTCGTCGACCGGTCCTTCACATTCATACTTCTGAACAAGTAATCTTTTTCCACTTCCATATAGATCTCGTTGAATTCTTCTGACACACCACCCATTATGTACGTTGAGAAAAATTCAGCCTAAATTACATAATTATGAAGGAATTCCGACCATTTTTTTTTCTTTTGGTTGAAAAAAGATTTAAAGATTTATATGCTGTCGTCCATTAGTCTATAGTAAAAAATAAATTTCAACTTTTTGAATGATCATTCATCTTTTATACTTTTTTTAGAAGTGAGAAAGGAATACAAATTACAAGCTAAGGTTAAATAACTCATACTATGAAACTGATAGAAATTTTTCGAAAACGACAAAAAAAAAAAAAAAATGATAAATGAATTCTTATAAAAGCTTGCCACATTAAGTGTAATTTGCAAATAATTCCCATTATTAGCTAATGAAGAAGGATTAATCAAATATATGGCATCGGATGTAATCCGTAATGTTACCTTATCTTTACATAACTTTGCAACAAATTCGGTGATTTCTGTAAAGAAAAAGAAGAAAACACATTATTTTAAGATAATGGAGGTTATAATTCTAGGAAATATTTATCAAAAGTAAATTTCGTTTCAACAAACCGATAACTATTAGTTGAACCTCTTCAATTATATTGCAAATAAAAATAGCAGCACTAAGGGTTTAGCTAAGTAATAAAACTAAGAAATATAAAGAAAATAAATAAATAACATAATGACTAAGCTTACTTGACAATGTGTCCGCTGCACCACTCTCTGCTAGAACAGCAAGAAATTTCATATCTAGAATTTAACAACTTTAATAATAACAGCTAATAAACATCTGGAAAAACTATTGGGACCAAATTTGGCCATGAAATTTGATCTTCAACATGCAGGGAAAAAAGGCGAAAAATTGAAAGATCCAGATAGTCGCTGCAATTGAAAGCATACGAGTGACACGTGACAATGCTACACAAAATATAACAAACAGCTTACTGCTAAAATTTATTTAAAATTTATTCATAAATCATACAACATCACAGTGCTATTTTAAATTTCCATCAATCCGCCTTCCTGCAAAAAAAAAGAAAGATCTTAATAAGAAAATCAAAAAATTTAAGAAAAAAATGATCGAATAAAATGAAAGCAACATGTAATAGGTAAAGAACAGATTATATGTTGAATTAATATACCGTTATTTTGAATTGTACCGAACCATTCATGGCAGATGGCGATTTCACCAGAAAAATTGAGCTACTTCGAGAATTAACATTGGGTGGATATAACCAAAAACATGTATTTGGACGATGAGACCTAAAAAATATGATCCTCAACTATGAAAAATTCTAAATATTATAAATGTTTTCAAAATTATAAATTGCATCTATTCATCTATATATAATGGATGTTGTTTAGAACTTAAGAAAGAGAAAAAAGCGAAAACATTACCATGAAGTTCCCAACGCAGATGCAAGATGCGCTTCACCATCTTTCTCATTTTCGAAACGATAAGTAACATGGTTTACGGCAACAACCGGAAATAAAAATTATAAGAGTGGAACAGCTTTAAATTTTTCGGTAATATTCAATCAATTTCCTGTCAAAAATGCAAAAGAACAGTAAGCATCGCCCAATAGAAGAATTGAACTTCTAACAATTGAAAATTTACGATTAATCTATAGGAAGCAGCCAATTTTGAAAGAATTCGTGAAATTTCTAGTCTCGATCGTAAGGCATAGCCATTCTCACCACGCAGCGGCATCGCAACACTATCCACAATTACAAGACCAATCTAAAATTTAATTTCAAGTTACTTACTGTGTTGGAAAAAGCTTTCTTGATCACTAATGTTCTCCCATCTTTTGAAAAAAACAAGCCAAATCGTGAATCATAAGACGTGAGATGAATCAAGCATCATCGGTACCACAACCAAATGAAGCATCAAAAGAAATTATAATAGTTCTTTTTTATTCCTAACATTCTTCTCTATTCCACAAAGGATATAAATTAGAATTTCGAATTTCAATATACCAATAAAAAAATCTTCAAATTCAGTAATTCAAAGCTATGCTACGTCTAGAAAATCTTATTATAAATAAAATAAACTACATACGAAACCTCTATATTTTGTTGTAGAAGAGAAAAAATTCAAAATGATATTGCAACTTCGAACACCTTTCTTATAAAAGATGAAATAGAGAAACGAATGAGAAAAAATAACAAACCTTTGGATTTTGTTGTACCAACAATTCTAACCGATGAATAGCACTTGTTAATTCAACCAAATCACGACAGCGGCTAACTTGTATATGTTTCAATGATTCTAATGGTTCCATTGTTTTTAATACATTGGTTGCAATATCACAGATACGTTTTGTATGGAATCCTCCTTCTGTATCCACATACACACTATCTTTTTTTGTTTTATTTTTTTGCAGACTAACTGCTAACTGCATACTAAATAAAATGTATTAAAATTTACATGGAAATTTTCGAAATAATTTCGGCAAATTTTTCGTTTGGAATAATTTTCCAAATCGCAAAATCAAACTATTTCAGGATTCTCAATCTATTTTTTTTTTTTTTTTTTTGAATAAGATGAAACAAACAGTACCAGAATTGTGATTTTCCAGTAGCTGACAAGCCAACAATCTCCAAAAATGTGCCTGGTGATATGCCACCGCCTAGCAATGCATCTAAAGATTGTAAACCAGTTTCAAGCAATTCATCAGCTTGTTCAAGTTTGTATAAATCGTATGCATTAATTAATTCCATCCCATTACAACATTATACAAATAATCTGAAAAAAAAAAGAATGAAGTTGATTGAAATTTCAAATAATAAATATAGAAGGAAAGTGATAAGTAAATATGTAACGCTACAACGATAAATTATGAAAACTTAGTAAATTATGAGTAAAGATAAATTATTATTTGAATTATCAAATTTAGACAACAGCATAAAAGAGTGATGAATTGATAAATAGTAAACAAATCTTTGAGTAAACAGCATCACAACAGAACGCAAAATCAAGATTGTCAAAAAAAAAAAATCTTAAAATACAAACATCAAATTTTCAGAAACAAAAATTTCTAATTTACTCATCAAATAAATGCAAAATAACACTATCAAAGTGAAAGATTAACGATTGATAAGAACTCAAAGAAGCTTTAGCACTTCATTACAAAGCAAACTGATGAAATTTATTAAAAAATTAACAACAGTAAAATCTACTAAGTGATACAATATAATATTTAATTTCAGTTATGATAAATTAAACGAATGATAAGATTAACAAATAAGAGTGTCAGATAGGTTATCAAAAAAAAAAAAAGAGTAGTTATCAAATTGTACATTATCCTAATTTTAATGATTAAAAATTAAGCTAATCTATTGAATTTATAAATTACTCCATTTCAATTTTTTAAACATAAAATATCTCCGAACAAGCTTAAATGTATGTCAAAAAATTACCAAAAAGGTTTGGTAGGCTTTAATTCAGATTGCGACGGAGTTGAGAGTATTATTTATTTATTTATTTTATATCATTGGGTTGAGAAGGTTAGGACCGCTGTTATATGTTTTTAATTCCTAAATACAAACCTGAATATTCAATTCTAGGAATCCTGGAAATTAATTAGTGGTACTCAATGTAATTCTAGTGCAATAAGTGTAGTATTCTCAAGAGGTATCGTAAATTTATATGAAATTTGTTCGAAATTTTATTTGAAAATAATCATTGCTATATTTTAAGTCTCAATTAGTTCTTTTTTTTTTTTTTTTTTTTTGGTTTATTATTTGTATTAGATTTGTTTTTGGTTAATTATCATTTGTATTACATTTTGTTTTTTGGTTAATTATCACTTTTATTCTTGGTTATTTATATTTAATCTTTGTTGATTATTATTTACATTAGAATTTAACGAACATTTGAAATTCTTACTTTCTTGAAAAGTAAACTTAAAACTTTTAAAGTTTTTGAGGAAATGCTTTTTGAATATTTGCTATAGCATAATATCATTTCAATTTATGTATGTTTTTTTGAGATTATTATTTAGTCTGTATTTTTTTTCGTTTGTATTATTTATTTTATTTTTACCTAAACATACTTCATAAATATTCTCCATTGTTGTAAGTGATTTATACAATGTATTTTCTAACCTGTGTTTACTTATAGTAAGAGACAAAATTATATTAGTAGCATTTATTCTCAGTTGCCTTAATTTATTAATAAACAACTTATTGTTTATGCAATTTTAGGTACTCAAATTTCCACTTTTAATTTAGTGAGCAAATATTATTAAATCATTAAATATGCATTTCAACTATTACATTTATTTGGAAAAAAATTTACTATTTAGTTTCTTATTCTTATTTGTTCAACATATATTTAGGTATCAATTGTTGTTTTATTTTTAAAATTTCAAATTTCTTATTAGTTGTGAAAATTTATTTTGCAGAGATAATATGGGAAAAAAACGAATAATTGCATTAATTGATATGGATTGCTTTTATGTTCAGGTGGAACAACGTCTTCAACCTCATCTTTATGGTAAACCAGTCGCTGTTGTTCAACATAGCAGTGGTAATAATCGAGGTGGTGGGTAAGCATTTCCAAATAATTAGTCGAAAATTTTCATCTGAATATTTTGCAATCTTTCAGGTTTTTATTTAAAATTCATTTCAAGTTGCATTTCTAATTCCAACTTTAAAGTTTCATTTCTCACTTGTTTATTTATTTACTCAATCGTAGTCTTTGATGAATCTTTTATTAAAAATTATTTTACGTTTATTTAAGTCTTTTTTTTTTTTTAATATTTCCGTTTTATTTTACAAGTGGTTTTATTGACAATTTCAATTTTGTCTATTTTATAGCAAATGTTTTTACCATTCATTGCAGCTTACTTGCTATATCATATGAAGCAAGACCTTTTGGTATCAAACGTGGTATGTTTCCTGAGCAAGCCAAAACCTTATGTTCTGAATTGACACTTTGTTATGTGCCAGTTGGCGAACATGTTGATAAGGCAGATATCACACGTTACAGGTTAGTAGAATTTTGCTTCTTGTAGCTATTCAAATATTTGCATCTTTTATAAATTGCAAAATCATAATGTTAATTTTACAAAAGCTAGTCGTTACGCAAATATGTAAAAATTTTGCATTTGCAAATTTATAAATTCTGAAATCATTTAGCTTTTCTAAGGAAGTTACCACTGTTCTGAAATGCTTGCATTGATGGCCATTTTGGTCTTTTTTTCTCAATTGTTTCGAAATCAAATGAAAAAAACACTATAGCAAAGGTATAGCTTGAATAAGCTAGAGTTTCATTTAGGGATGCATCTGCGGAAGTATTTAAAGTTTTACATGAATTTAATTCACGAATTATTGTTGAACGGGCATCGGTTGATGAAGCTTATTTGGATCTTACTGCTTTAGTAGAGCATATCTACGAAACCACCGATCCTTCGATTAAGGTATTTCGATTTTATTTTAATTCGATAGTTATATATCTTTTTTTACATTTGTTATTTATTATCCAAATTAATTTAGAGTAACGCTTATTATATATTTCATTCTATATTTCGTTATATATCTTCTACTTTTTTTTCTGGTGATTTATTTAAATATTTGTGTCTATTGTTGCAACTAGAGAAAAGCATTGCTGTCTTTCGGGTTGAGCATTATTGATCAAAGGCAATAGAGATAGCGGATAACGAAATAAAATTCCTTATTGTATCCACATTGGATGAATAAAAGATAAAGAAAAGAATTTATTTCTCCTTCCAGTAAGTTTTTTATTTATTTTTGCTAAAACATTCATTTTATAGTATGGGAAATTTGATGCAATGGATTTATTTCCTACAACACATGTTGCTAACGGAACAGATGTGAATGAAGACAAAATTCCGGATTGGAAATATGATAGGATTGGATCTTTGCATTCTTTTATATCAGAAACATGCGAAACAAAGGATGAATACAAGGCATTATCGTATTTATTTACTATAGGCTAAAGAAATATTGAATTTTGAGTTTCTTTATTTGAAAGCTATTACTGGTATTCATTGAGATACTTGAGAAATTTTCTATTTGACAATGCTTGAATTTTGCATTTTGATGAATAATTATTTTTAAACAAGTTTATTTCCTATTATTATTACCGAAAACCAAATGAGAGATAACAAGATATAACTGAAGAATTATTGGCAGATATAATTTGGACATGCTGTCATTAAGCTGTCTCGATGATCACAAATCTAGTTGTCATGTAACTGAAAATCTATTAAATTATGTAATTTTTAGTTGAAATTGATTATTGGAGCTGATTTGGTTGAACAAATAAGAAGGAATATAAAGAAAAGCACTGCGTTCAATTGTTCTGCCGGAATTGGTAGTAGCAAGGTTTGTTTCGAAAATTTTGTTTTCATAAAGATATAATAAAATATAGATAAGTTCGAAATTTCCTTTTTGTACTGATTTCAAATCAAAATTAAAAATTAACTAACAGCATTCTTATGGCAAAATTTTATCTTATTTTTTATTTTTTGTTAGACTTCTTGATTATTACCATGGGTAACTCATTATTTCGTTTAGTTTTAACGAGTTCAGAAGATTGTTAGCCTCTTAGAATATATTCCAGTGGCATACTCAAAACTGTCATATTTCAGATGATTGCTAAATTAGTTTGTTCACGACACAAGCCTGGTCAGCAGACTGTTGTATTCAATGAAGCTATACCTAAAGTTTTCGAATACACTCCTATAAATGAAGTGCGAAATCTTGGTGGCAAATTAGGAAGAGCATTAATGGAAAAATTCAATATTAAAGTATATATTGCTGTTCATGGACTGAATTACCAAAACAGATTAAGTAGCTTATGTATATTTTGGAAAATTCATAGTGTTTCTTTTTCAAAAACTACAGACAATGGGTGAATTATCAGAAATATCGATGTCACATCTCAGCGAATATTTTCCAGCTCAAGCAAAGTGGATATACAATATTGCACACGGTAAGGTATTTCAACTTTTCTTTTTAAAATATATACTGACTTATTTGTAGTTTCAAATACAGTCCTACTATGTGGAAGCTAGATTTTATGCATCATTTAAGAATATGACGTCCGTAAAGACATGACGTAGGAATGTATTGAGATCGTTTGAAAGTTAAGTTTCCAAAGCTAGTGATTATAATGAGAAGTGAAATTTTATTGTCGGTCCCGAATTTCTGTTTTCATGCTGACTGGAGTTTGTACAGAAAAACGTATCCTAATATTTCAGGTATTGATGACGAAAAAGTTACTGCACGTGATAAGCAAAGCTCAGTTGCTGTAAGTAAAAATTTCCCCGGTGCTAATGCTCTAAAAACGGATGTTGATGTGAAATTTTGGTTGGAAGGTTTAGTCAAAGAATTGGTGAAACGCTTAATTGATGATCAAATAGCGGTATGAAACAATTTGATCATATATTATTGCTTAAACTCGTTTGAAAACGTTTAAAAACTACGATAATACTTCATTTCTGATTATTTTCCTTAACAGTGAGCAGTTTCGATCTCTTATTGTTGTATATATCTTTTAACTGTAGATACCCAAAAGATTCGGTCGATCAAAAAAATTACAAGCACATATTAGTTAGCTGATGAAGTTAGCGCAGTGCAAATTAATGAAAATTTTATCAAAGATTAAATTGAGCGGAAGGTTCAAGCAACATTACTAAGCTTTTTTCTTGAGTTTGATATTCTTTTAATTATTCATCATTTATCGAGCCATGTGCTGCATGCATTTAATAGTTTGATGCTTTCATAATTTTTAAGATTATGCATGTTTATAGTTTAGGAGTTTCATTTGCACTTTCCAAATTATTAGTTGATTGATTTGGAGTTTCATAAGCTTCAATATAGAATATTCGAACCGCTTCAACACTCCATATTGGTTGCACAACTGACATACATCTTACTAGAAGTATGCAGATGAAGACATATGATCCGAAAGCTTTATTTACATCAGTTTGGGCAATTTTTCGACATATTAACAAGTCGGGCATACCGGAAACTTGGTAATTTCAATAAAAAATATTTCTTGTCCTTTTTTCTAGAAAACAATTTATTCGATTTTATTGAGCTAACATTCGAGTTATTATTTTGTTTAATATACTAATACTTTTGTTTATGCTCTGTGTTAGCTTTAGTTCTTTTGTAACTATTCCATTCAGCTCTAACTTTTGCTTTCTCCTTGAAATAATTCAAAAATTCAACATGAATTATTAGGGATCCATCGGTGAAGAATATTGCGCTTTCCGCAGATCGGTTTCGAGAAGGGATTGATGGTCGTTCGAAACAAATCACAGAGTGGGTAACGAAAGCAATAGATGTAGCGGAAAATTCAGTGCTAGATGCTTCCACCGGTGAAGATACTAGAAGTTTAGCCGTACCTATTGAAAACGTAGCGAAGACTTCAGTGCAAACTTCGGTAAATGCTTTGAATTTTATTGTTTTAGAATTAAAGTAATTTCTGATTTATTTTGTAACCTGACTTTGTTTTCCAATTACTTGTGGTGGTGCGTTGATCAGTGTTGAAGGACTCTAAAAAGCTCCTCAGTTTAATTTGGTACTTCGATCTTCAACTTCAGAAGCATATTAATTTTTTGTTATTTTCACAGTATTTTACTAAACTTCATCTTTCATTTGAACAGGAAGTTCTTTATTCTTGATATAAAAATGCTGTTCAACGAGTACAACATGAATCTGTTTGTGCAGTTTTGTATTCCAGCTAAAATATATAAAACTTTTGTTATAGGCGGATGTGCATCATTCACGAAGAGAGGTACAGGAAGAGAATGATGATGATGATGATATACAGATTATTTCTGATACAAAGAAAGAAAAAAAAGTTATCACTGCTGCTATCCATTCTAAAACAACGGCTAAAAAGCGAAAAAAAAGAAGAGTAATGAAAAAGTTGAGCCCACCGACAAGGAAAATATCAGATTTTTTCAAAAAACAATAAATTTTGTTAATTTAGTAATTACGCATATCCATAAATTGATAGTGAAGGAAAAATGTGATAGAAAAGCTGTTTTTGTCATATCACACTTATTTACATAGTTCACTTAGTCTTATCGGGTAAATCCTTGTCTTTATAAATTTCATTTTTATTTTTTTAAAAATCCTCCAGAAAAAAAAAAAGAAAAACTTGCTGAATTGTATAGAATTGCATATTATTACACTGCCAATTTTTTTATATTGTTGTAGGATTAATTGTCAGCACCAAACTGTTTTGCTAATCCTATGCTTTCTTTTTACAATAAAAAATGGTTCAAATTGAAAATGTATTTGTTAATTCAAAAGAATGGTTTCCTTTTTTTTCCTCAATAATTTAAGAGAAATTTAAAATTTCGAAAATTTTCAAGGATTCCTTAGTTCCAAAAAAAAAAAAAAAACAAAGATCCTCAAAATTGCCTATACTGCTACTACTATTTAACATTATCTCACAAACAAGAAATGAAATCGTTTTTAAAATTCGATTTAAATTGATTGGGTGAACGATTCGATAAGTCCTGTGTTATCAGTCAAAAAGATCATTGCATTTTGTAAATAACAAATTTTCATCTCACTAACTTCAACAGAAATTTATGTTATGTGAATCGATACAGTAAAGGATTAAATATTTTCATTCAATCATAAAAACTTTTTAGGATGAAATATTGAAACAAATGAAAGGCTCATCTTTTCTTGAACTCTCTAAATTTATAAATATTTTATATTCTGTGTCCTAAAATCTTTCACTGAAATAAGCAAATTAAGTAAGATAGAAAGTAAATATCCGCCAGAAGATTAAAAGAAAAAATTGTAAAAACGTGTGCACGGAGTGGGATTCGAACCCACGCATCGATCACGATACCAGAACACTCCAAATCTCACACACTGTTCTCGTGTGAAGCATACGTATTGTTTGCTTGAGTCTGGCGCCTTAGACCACTCGGCCATCCGTGCTATGAGAATACCATCCTGAATTAATTATATTTGTTATATTGAAAGTTTCTGAATTATTTTTTTTTTTTCGCAAATGTAAAAAAAAAAAATTCTTTCAAATTTCAAAATAAAATTACAATTTTAAATCTTAGAATTATTGTTACAGGAAAAATCTTCAAGAATAAATTTAGAACTTCAATGATTTTTAAATTAAAAAAATTTGGAGTTCATTAAAATTATATTTATCAATTTTACAATTGCAATCATAATCGATTGATTAGCAAAATTTAAAAATTGAAGCATGCATATATGAAAATGTTAGATTTTTAAATATTAAAGTGTTCTTTCTTTTTTTTTTTTTTTTTTTTTTTTTCATTAATTCAATAAACTCAGCTGATTTATCAGTTGAAATGAATAATTTTAAACTTAAAAGTAACTTTATTTTTCTTGTATTATTGAAGCAAACAATGTGAACATTATCATTGCTATATTTGCATTTTATTGTTTTATATTTATTTAATCATAAAACTTTTGATAAGCATTACTCATAAAGAGAAATAAAATATCTAATCACAATTTTAATAATTATTTTTCCCCACTCATTCTTTTCTTTATCAATTTATCATTAACATATCAATCAATTCATATTATCAAAAAATCTTGACATTTTATTCCAATTTAGTTTCTTTTTTTGATAAAATTGTTAAAATTTAGGTGAAAAGTAATTTATGTGTAAATGGAATGATTGCCAATTGCATTTTAACCGATCGAATGAATTAATTCGATATAATCATAAATTTATCGATGATCGATAATTTCATCCCAACTATTATTTTTTTTTTTCTTCTTACATTTTCATGCTCCAATCACTTATCATTACACTTCAAATGTCATGAAACGTGAGAAAAATATTAATTTAAACTTTAGAAGTAATGTAAAAAAAAAAAAAGAAACTCTACAAAAGTCTTTATTTTATTGTTTTTTTAACAATTTTTCTTCTTCAAAATTAAATTAAAGAAGAAAAGTTATATTATAATTCTTTCTATCTAAGTAGTTTGTATGTTTTTTTTTTCTTTTTTTTTGCTTTTTTCATATCAACCTTTTTAAATAAAACAAGAAAAATATTTCATATACATATATAATATAAGGTTATTATGTCATTTTAAAATTTATGTTTACTTGATGGATTTTTTAAAGTGTCATTTTTTTTCTTTTGTTTTTGCTTCGCCCTTATATATTATCGCTTGTATTTCATCCTGTTTAAGTTTATTGTCACCTTTAATTTTTTTTTTTGACCTTTAATTACTTATTCTATCTTAATTACTTATACTATAACATCATTATAATAGAGATAATCAAATTGATCAATATCAAAAATTATAAAAAATAACAAAGAAAAAAAAAATTCATTCATAGAATTGTTTTCGATATTTTTTTGTTAATTTAGTAAGTTACAAAAACATTAATCACACTTATGCAATTACGCCTTCTATTTATTTGGCGAACTGTTTCTCAGTTTTTGCATCCGGTTGACATGGACTGATTCCTTTCATTAGTTAGTTATTGTCATATAATTGTTGTGCAATTCCTAAACAGAATGAAATCTCAAAAGAGGAAGAAATCAGTGAAAAAATAACCTCCATTGATGATCCAATAATACTTGCTGGATAGCCAATAACATCAATAAATACGACAGGTACGGATAAAATTCCAATTGATTTTCCTAATCGAATTAAAAATTCCTTTATCACATAAGTGGTATACGAGAATGACTTAGTTTTGTTAACTTCAGTTCGTTTATATTGGATCGCACGACGGATATATTTATGCAACGAAGAAAATTTCATTTGCTTTCAAAATAACCTGAAATTACTTTTAATTTTGCACAGTGTAACAATATAATGCCTTTACAATTACTTAATCAACCAATTACTTAAATTATTAATTATGGCTTGAAATAAACGATCAATCGACTGAACTCCTTATAATGATATGAATTATCCGTGACTGTAAACAAGTAATTAATTATTTTAATGGACAATTACTCAGATAAATCAATTTCAGATCTCATCTTAACTTATTTTTCAGTAATTTCCTCTACATTCCTCGTTTAATACTTTTAAATATTACTGCAGCATACTCAGTAATAAGCAAACAAAAAGAGCAAGAAGGAAAAAGGACAAGAATTTAAAGTTAATTAATTAGAGAATTTACATATATTTGATTTAATTTGTCCGTAAATACATTCCAAAATGTTAAATATTTGATTAATTAATTAATTTTTTTGGCAATAATTTTACTATTTGAAGTATAAAAAAATTATAATTTGAATAAAATTTATTACGTTTTGAAAATAAAACGTAAATTTGTTGATTTATTCAGATCTTTCATTTCATTTGTTCCAAATTTCATTACAATAATAATTGTCACCTGAAGGTGACACTATCCTTTCCATTCCCTCATTTACTATCTTTTTCTCTATAACGCTCTCGCTTTATGCCACCCTCTTTTCCCAATATAGATCTCTACCCGTATGTTTGAAATTATATATCCCTTATACCTATTTCTGTTTCTCTATCCATTCGCGTTCCTTTCTATGTGATCTCTATCCTCACATCCACTTCTATAACTTTGCCCGTTCGCATCCATTAATATGTGTTCTCTTTGTATATATCACTAACTCTACATCTATTATATATGTTTCCGTCTGTTCTCGTTCATTTGTATGTATCTTTAACTCTCCATCTACTTTATATGCCTCTGTCTGCTCTCGTTTATTTGTATGCATCTTTATTGTAACATTAGTATGTTTATGTTTACATACACTTTCTCTACATCTCTCTGTGTATCCTAGCTTTCTTCATCTATCCATCTATAGATTGACAATCTTTTCTGGTGACACTTGTTGACACTTTTTTGTCATCATTTCATTTCATTCATTAGATGCATTTTCAGTTGTTTCTTACGCATGAAATGATCAAATTCCCTGTGGAATAGTCCGTAAAATAGATTAGCAAACTTAAATTGATTGAAGCTTAAATTTCAGTTTAATTTTCTTTTTTTTTTTCGCTAATAATATTTTTTTTTTTTTCTAGAAATATATGTATGTATATTTTAACATTGCATATTGATAAGAATACTTTTAAATTGATTAAAATGAAATTAAAAGGTTTATCATAAAAGGAAGCACTGTCAAAATTTTGAATCGAATAAAAAGTAAATTTATTTAAATTAACTTGAATTTCATATCTTAAACAGCAAATAGTTTAATGTGTAAAAGAAACGAAAATTAGATGGTTTCAAGGTTTTGTTATAAAAATATTGAACAATCTTTTGCAATCAATAATCCAATAAAATTCAATTTTTTTAATTAAATTTTTTTTTTTTTTTTCAATTCTATTATAGATTACCTAATTCTCTTACCAATTGTTGTGGTATTATCAATCGATTCCATAATATTTTTTTCCCTTTTCCTCTTATTCTTTCAATTTTATTTTCTTTTTGTATGATTTAGTTTCAATCTTTACCTTAACTAATCAGGTAGTTTTATCTTTTTAAAAATCTTAAAAAATGGGATGAAAAGTTTGCATTTGTTTGTCTTTTTTTCTCTGCTTCTCTCATTTTTGAGAATGGCAAATTTATTTACTAATTTTCTTCACATTTGTTTTCTTCCAGTTTTCTAAAATTTTCTTTTCGTTTTTTGTTTGACTAATTTCTCTTTCGCACTTTTGAGAAAGAAAAGAAATAAAAAAAAACGAAAAAGCAACAAACTCCCAACCAAAAAAAATAAAATAAAATAAAGCGCAAATATTCATTGTAACGATGCTGTTTGTCTATTTCGATTGAATTAAATTTGCAATTTTTCTTCAATGAAATGTCATTATTTGAAAGAAAAAAAAAAGAAAATGTATTATTTCGATCTTTATTTTCAGAATTTTGAAAGATAGAGTTAGTAATTTCGAACAAATTTGTTCATTCACATATTTTTGTTAATTCAATTCAGCGATGAGTCATCGTCCTTATATCAGCATTTATCATTGATTTCATTCAAAATTCTCTCAGTTATTTAGTGCCAAATCACATCAGAACAACAACAACAGCTCGTCATCATCATTTTCTGTTCTCTTTCTAACAAATCAATAATAATAGAATTAATTTTAATGAAATAATTCAAAGTTTTATTATTTTAATTTTAAAGCATTGATGAAAAACATTTCATTTCTATATTTTACCTAATAATAATGCAAGAGTAATAATTATTGTTTTTGAATTTCAATTTATTTTATTTCATGTTACTTTACACTTAACTAATGATAACTCATAAAAAAGGTAATTAATCAAAGTATCACTTAGTAGAATCCATTACATTTATCTTTTAATTATGATAGAATAATTAATTCTGATAACATTAACACTATGTATTTTCATATTCTACTATCAACTAAATTATATTATTGATTATTGATCAGTAAAAAGAGAAAAAAAAAAGAAATGAAAGTTTACAATTGCAAAATATATTATTAATTTCAGAATATAAAGTTAATGTGTCATTAATTTTAAGACAAAAGAGATATATTACTAATTTCAGGATATCGTAAACTATCAATGAAATAAAAGTACCATTAGTACCATTAATTTTTTGTTGTTAGAATAGAATGCTGATATTAGCATGTCACGTTTTTATACATTTTTATATTCTTGGAAGAAATTTCATTAATAAAAGGGAAAATTTATTCTTCATTATATCATAAATTTATAAAATGCTTCTTTCTATGTTTTCCAAAATTATTTCTTAGCCATTTCAGTTTTTTTTTTTTTTTTTTTTTGGTTTCAAAATTTAAATTTGATGAAAAGCGAATAATTTTTTAGCATTAATATTGATTTTTATAAAAAAAATTTACATATAGTAAAATTTCACGTCAACTTTTTTTTCGTTATTTTTTCATGTAATTTCATGTATTGTTGAATTCACTTCGAAATGTTATAGGTTGTTAAGTTTTAAAGTGAAATAAGTTTAAATAAAAAATAATTATTAATTCTAAGGATATATAAAATATTTTTTTCTTTTTCTCAACTTTTTAACAATAATCTTAATGATAACGAATAACGAATCATAATGATAATAACGAAAGCAATTTCAGGATAAGTAAGTAAATAAGGAAGGTAATTCTAATTAGTTAGGTAGATATATGGGAATGATTAAGCAATTTCAGGATAAGTAAGTAAATAAGGAAGGTAATTCTAGGTAGTTAGGTAAATATATGGAGATGATTAAGCAATTTCAGGATAAGTAAGTAAATAAGGAAGGTAATTCTAGGTAGTTAGGTAAATATATGGAGATGATTAAACAATTTCAGGATAAGTAAGTAAATAAGGAAGGTAATTCTAGGTAGTTAGGTAAATATATGGAGATGATTAAGCAATTTCAGGATAAGTAAGTAAATAAGGAAGGTAATTCTAGGTAGTTAGGTAAATATATGGAGATGATTAAGCAATTTCAGGATGGATAAACTATCACAATATTTGTATTTTTTCAGTTTCTTTTTCGTATCATTCAATCATATATCGATTGATGATTGTTGCAGTAAACGAGAGCACTTTATTTTCCTCTAAACATATATTATTTCTAATCTATTATAGTTTATCATTTATTGCTGTACAATATTTTAACCTAATTTGTTTTAAGTTAAAATTATTGGTGTAATTAGGTGGGAATAAATTAATTGAAATAAACAAATTGTTGATTTACAAAGATTAATTCAATATTTTAATATATCAACAAATATTACACAAAGTTTGATTTTTTTTTTTTTCAAATCAAAAATTATTACTTTTGCGTAAATATTTGCATTTAATTGAATAGTTATTATCATATAAAAGTGCCATTTATTTTGTAGCTTATACGTGAGGTCAAACGATCAGTATATTACGTAAAGTTATGGAAGATGATAAAGAAGAAGAATGTGTTGCTGTAAGCTTATTTATTTAATTGTGCTATTTTAAAATTTTGAAAGTGAAAAATGTTTTGATTAATGTTTGGGAATATTTTGCAAGTTGTTTTTTCTTGTTTTTGTTTTTAAATATAAGTTAAAGTGATCAATGTTATTGTTAGGAAATTGTTGCATAAAATGTCATTTCAGGTTAGATTACATGACGATGAATTTAGTGGTTTAATAGGAAATATCGCAGGTGGTATTCTTCGTGATAGAGTTGGTGGTACTGCAGGTGATATACTTGGTAATTTAGTGGGCAATTTCGGTGGTCATGGAGGTATTGTTACCTTTAGAGTTACTTTTTTAATGTGCAAATATTGACAGTTATAAAGTATGATTGAAGAAATGATCAAGTATTGATATGAATGATATCATTGAAAGACTATCAAGCTTAGGTACTATTGAGTAGCTATAGCTACAGGTATTATACCGATTATTGATATAATAGTATCAGTTTGATTACTGATACTGTTTTGCATGTTTTATTTTTTTTTTTTATCCGAGAAATGTGTAAATATTGGAGTGGAAATTCATAGATTTATTCAAATATCAACAAATATATCCGTGTAAAGAAGGATGTAAAAATATTTACATCTGATAAAAGATTTTTAGCTGGAAGCGGATATGGAAGTGGTGGATATAATCAACCTGGTGGATATGGAAGTGGTGGATATAATCAACCTGGTGGATATGGAAGTGGTGGATATAATCAACCTGCTGGATATGGAAGTGGTGGATATAATCAACCTGGTGGATATGGAAGTGGTGGGTATAATCAACCTGGTGGATATGGAAGTGGTGGATATAATCAACCTGGTGGATACAATCAAGGCGGTGGTTACGGAAGTGGTGGTGGATATGATCATGGAGGATATGGTGGTGCAGGCTTTGGTAGTGGTTATAGAGGTGATAGTGAAGGAGGTTATAGCAATCGTAATAGTGAAAATAGTGGTGCAGTTGGCCTGGTTGGAAATTTAATTGGTAAGTATATTATTCTAATGTTAAATCTGTGAAATCTAGAATTATTCGTTTCATTTGTCATTTTTTTCATGCACTTATATTTCATATTTATGTCATTTTGCATTTCTATTTTATAAAATTTTTGCTGTTAATCTCAATCAAATTTCTATCATTTGAAGTCTACCATTCCGTTAGAAAAATAAATTCTCAATTGTTGTAATGCATAAATTGAAGGTGGAATATTTGGCGGTGGAAAAAATCGTAACGATGGTGCTAGTAATGATGGTTACAATAATTATCGGGGTGGTAACAGTGGTTACGATGACAATCGGAAAAAACCGGAAAAAATGCGTAAGTTTATTTTTTACTATTTTTTCACTTACAAATCTTAAAATTCGAAAGGGCATATTGAAATCCTAAGTTAAACAACAGAAAAAAAAAACGAATCAAAATTGTTCTCTCAAATTTCCAATCGAATATTTAGTCCCAGCATGAGCACTAAAAATTATATTTAAGCAATAACAATCCTTAAACTTTGTACTTTTCCACTGAGCGGAAACTATCAGCTTTACATCTATTATCTACTTCTAGGAGAACTTTAAGAATACATTATTTTGCTTATTTTTTTCTTCTCTTCCACATTATTATCCATAAAATTATTTTATTATTAGAAAAAAAACCCAATAATGATGAGTGTCGAAGGAAATTGTTTAGCAGTAGAGTAATAGTTAGCGTTATATTTTAAGGTTCATTATTTAATTGCTTCTTTTAATTATTAATTTTATAACGTTTTCATATACAGAAGTGAAATTTTCAATTTTATAAAGTCTTAATTGTTAGTAATATTGTTTTTAAATGATATGGACAAGTAACTCATTTTTTGTAATTCCTGAAACTGAAGGTATGGAAAAGAAATATGTTTTTAATTTTTTTTAAATTGAAATTTATGTTTTATATTCAATATTAATTTCATTTGACATATGCTTTCCTGAATTTTTTTTTTTCGTTGTCAAATAAAAGGAGTATTTCTTTCATCACAGAATTTATGAATTTATCCCCCATATTTTTGGGCTCTCCTAGATTAATGGAATTGATTAGCAGCAGGCAATCATTTTGTTTTTGTTTATTTTTTCTCTCTCTTTCTCTCTTTTTTTTAATAGCCTTTTTTCATTTAGATATTTTTGCCATAAAACAAACAAATCATCCATTGTTTTTTCATTCTCTCTTCTAATAATTTTGTTTACATTTTTGTTTTTTTAAAACATACAAACAGTATTACTCATCATTTCATTTTTTTTTTTTATTCTACTCAAATTTGAAACCAATTTTTATTATTTCAATGAAGAAAACAGTTGTCTGAACTATGAAATAATTTAGTCAGAAAGCAATATCCATCTTCCAACCATTTTATTTCATAAATTTATTTATCGATTTGTTTTATTATTGACATTTTGACTTTTCCCACTAATTTTCATCTTCTTTGAGTTTTTTTTTTTTTCTTCTCAAAAGTTTATTCTTCTTTTCTCTTTCTTTAAAAACATATTTATAAATAATGTATTCTTTGAAAATTTATTAGTGACATTTTTTCTATGCCATTATGCTATTACAGCATTTCTATACTGTTCATTTCTTTATTACTTTCTGAATTTACCAAAATAATGGAGAGGCAAAACGATTTGAAATTTATCCAAATTTTTAGTAGAAAGAGAAATTTAATGTGAACAAATCACAGTTATCATTTCACATATATTTGTTGAAAAATAATTTAAACAACTAAAATAATTAAGAATATTTAAAAAAAAAAAAATAATAATTAAGCTAGGAAAATAAATTTCTTTATTTCCTTAACCATCTGAGGCTGAAAAGTAGACAACACTTCACATATCAAAAATATCTGATATACTTGAATTCATCGATCGATTTGTCCTATGCTTTAGCATTACTGTAGCATACTGTACTAATTGTCTAGAACAATTCTTTTACTTGTTGGCTTCAATTAATTGCTCAAATTCATATTTAGAAATTAATTAACTAAAAGCATTTCATTTATTAAAGGAACAATCATTTTTCATTATGCAAAAAATACTATTTTGTTGAATAATATTTTTGTGATTATTGTGATTCTCAACTTTCACTTTCTTCACAAATCAATAAACAAACTATCGATAACTCATTTAAGTTTCGCCAATGAGTCAGACAAACTAAATAAAAAGCCATTTGTGATTTGAAAAAGATTTTGTTTTCTGTTTTTTTTTTTTTTTTTTTTTTTTTTTGTTTTTGCTACCAGAAAATATTGGTGACAGAAAATTTACTCGTTTTATTATTTTTTTACTCATTCAATTTTCATTTCACTTTTTTTTTTTGTATTTTTTGAAGATTTTTTCTAAAAAAATTTTTTTTTCGTAGTTCAGTTTAGAAATTTTGAGAGACAAGTTTAGAAATTGACTTAAGATTTTTCGAAAATAAAAGTTATAAACTTTGCAAGTCTTGCTCTTTTTTCTGCCGGAAATGTTAAGCAGTCCTACAAAATTTAAGCTTGTTTAATTGAACTGATCCGGTTTTTTTCTCATCGAAGAGATACTAAGGGTTGGACATTATGTTTCTTTTAATTATCTTTTTTTGGAGTTTTTTTCGCATAATTACATATTTCCTATTTTTAATATTCTTTTCATCTGCAATTTATGACTAATTAGCTATAAGTATAGCAGCGTAGCTTCAAATTAAATGATAACTATACTTCCTCACCTTTACATTCATTTAACAATTGTCATTATTTTAAACTAGTATTTGTTACATTTATACATTTCATTAACATTTGTAGCTTTCATCAACATTTTCACATGAAATAAACGTTGTAGTTGAAGTTTAGATTCATTTTCTACTTTATAATAATTAAAATTGCTCCATAGTGTGTAATAGAATTCAACCGAAATGCTCTCTAATGTGCTAACATGCTGTATAGATCCGGAACATGATCGTTCCGGTGAATCCGACATGAAATGTTACAATTTTCAAGGTAATTGGAAATTTTTACCAGTAGAAAGCTAAATTTTTATCTTCTGATTATTAAATTCAAATTTTCAACAAATTACGAAAAATTCTGAAAATGCTGCTGAACTCTTCTTATATTTCAGGTGACCAGATTGGCGATATCATCGGTGGCTTTATTTCAGGTGGAGGAGGCGGCGGTAGCAGTAATTCTTACAGTAATTTCTTTATACATATATTTTTAATACAGGTAATGGCTGTCGGGAAATGGCTTATTTGAGCCTAAATCATTTCAGATACTGGTGGTGGTATAAATGTTGGTGATATTGCTGGTATTATTGGTGGCCTATCTGGACCAGGTAGTAAAGGTCAGAAGATTAGCGGCCTTATAAGTGGCATTGGGGGATTAATTGGCAAAAAAGGAGGAAATTATAGAGATGGAGGTATTTTTTTTATTATAGCATTTTCTTAAATAATTAAGTCTTTTTATTTGACTTCCTTTGCATTTGTTTAGTTTAGTTTCTTAATTCAGTCAGAAATTTAAAGCTTATACTTTATTATTTATAAAAAATGAATTGTAAGATTGATTCGGGTTTTTTCTAATAACTCTTTCAGTTTTTTTTTTTCTTTTTTTAGATTTTTCAAGAAAGGAGACATGAACTTTCATTCTCAACGAGCATTGTTCTAACTCTACCTGTTGATTTTGTTTAACCTTAATAAATTTTAGGTCCAAATGTTGATCCAAATAATTTAAGCGGCGGTATGACAGATGTTGTGAGCGGTCTTGTCGGGCATTTAGCTCATCGTTATCTTAATGTTGATCCAGCTACGGGACGCATTATCGGTGCCATTGCTGGCAATTTTATTTTCAATCTTGGTAAATTATCTGTTCAAAATTTATTAAAGCTTGAAATTTTTTTGATCGTTTGTTAATGTAAAAAATCAAATTTTTCTCAGGTGGCAAAGACAACAAGCTTGGAGCTGTGGGAAAAATCGTTTTAGACAATATTATCAGTGGTAAATTCAAGCGAAAGGTATTTGTTAGTATGTCCTACAGAGAAAAACTATGAAATCTTAAAATATTTGTTTGTCCTACTTAATTTTCCGTCTCAGTTCACAGTTCAAGATTGAACGGATGATTTCTTCTGCTAATTTTTTTTTACGAGATTTTGCATTTACAGGTTGATCCATATATACCACCAGAACCATCACGACATTTACGCCCACCAGTACCTGACAGAAGAGCGGACGAAGCACTTCATTTTTACGCAGAACGAGATCGTTGCCTTGCTGTAGGGTTACTATTTTTTAGTGTAAAATAAATTAAATATAATAGAGGAAGAACAAATCAGTCAAGAAGTTTTTCAGATGCGACAACTTTTCGAGGATCCTCAGTTTCCTGCTAACGATAAAAGCTTATTCTTCAGCCGACGTCCACCCAAACAAATCGAATGGAGACGACCGGGAGTTTGTTTAAGGATTTTTTTTCCATCCCTAATTTTAACGCTCCGTTCAAAAGATCATTTTACCGTCTTTTTTTCTTTTTTTTTTTTTTCAGGAAATATGTGAGGATCCACAGTTACTCTATGAAGGACATTCACGTTTCGACGTAGTACAAGGTGAATTAGGCGACTGTTGGCTTCTAGCTGCAGCAGCAAATCTTACATTGAAAGATGAGCTCTTTTATCGAGTTGTGCCACCAGATCAAAGTTTTACTGAAAATTATGCCGGTTCGTTCATTTAATCAAAATTGATTTCAAATCTTAAATTAGATTTTCGGCTTCTTCATTTCTAATTCAAAATTTTATTTTCTTGGTTTAGCTTCCTGTAATTAAATTTTATTAAAATCTTGAAAATTCAAGGCATATTTCACTTCCAATTTTGGCATTATGGTGCATGGGTTGACGTTGTCATCGATGATCGTTTACCAACATCTACCAGTGGTGAATTATTGTACATGCATTCCAGAGATAACAACGAATTTTGGAGTGCTCTTCTGGAAAAAGCATATGCGAAGTAAAAGTTTCTTTTTATTCTTAAAAATAATGAATTAAATAGTTTCTTATGAGTTTTAAAAATTATTTATCAGTGATGAATAATATCCAGTTTAAATAATCTTTTTGAATTGACTGATGTTATTTCAAATATAGTTCGGTAGCTTAGCAGAATTTGAAAATTTTTAATTTAAGGCTTCATGGTTCATACGAAGCACTAAAAGGTGGTACAACAAGTGAAGCATTAGAAGATTTTACTGGTGGTTTGACAGAATTTTTTGACCTCACACAACCTCCTAAACATTTGATGGAAATGATGATGAGAGGTTTTGAAATGGGTTCATTGTTTGGATGCAGTATAGAAGTATTTTTTTCCTCTCTTTTCTATATAACCCATTTTTTAGTGATATTTCGAATGTTTTTCTTCTGAGGACTTAACTGCTTGATTGTAAATCTAACAAAGTTATTGCTGCTAAGCATCAACGAGGTTAATCATAAAAAACTGTAAAAGCTTTTTATAAATCAAAAAAAGTTTTGCACAATTTTAGGCAGATCCAAATGAATGGGAAGCACGGATGCATAATGGTTTAGTCAAAGGTCATGCATATAGTATAACAGGAATGAAGATGGTAAAAATATTATAAAATTAACATTTATTTGTTTATCTGCCACATAAATCTTTCAATGTTTTATTTTTTTTCACTATTTTATTCTTTATTTTATTTTCAGGTGAATGGACCACGTGGTAGTATACCATTACTACGTATACGTAATCCGTGGGGTAATGAACAGGAATGGAATGGTGCATGGTCGGACAATTCAGCGGAATGGAGGTCTATTTCTCAGGAACAACGCGATGAGATGGGTTTGGTTTTTGCGCACGACGGAGAGTTTTGGTTCGTTGTAATGTTATTTTACCACAGTGATAGTTAAGTTCAAATAGTTTTACTAAATTGATTTTCCAAAATGTTTCAAACAGTAAATTCAACAGCATTTACAATTTAGAAAGAAACAGAGGTGTCTAGTTTAACTGAGTTGAATAGGTATCATATCGGAATAGCAAAGTTATTTGGATATATTTATTCCCTTTTCTGTAAATATTTCATTATCACTATAAATATTATGTATAATATTGTAATAAGTAATATGCTAGGTATAATCAGATAATGAATTCAATTTTTAGGATGTCATTCAATGATTTCGTGCGTTGTTTTGAAAAAATGGAGATCTGTAACTTGGGTCCAGAGGTTATGGATGAAGTATGTTTTTTTTTTATTATAAATATAATTTAAAGGAATTATTTATTTATTTTTTTTTTCTTTATATTCTTATTTTTATTAATAACAAATGTTCACATATATATAGGTTTATCAAATGACTGGTGTCCAGTCGTCACAGAATGCTTGGGCAACATATACTCATAATGGCATTTGGATTGCAAATGAAACAGCTGGTGGATGCCGGAACTATATTCGTATGCATTTTTTTGCTTCCTACTTTCTTCTTTTTATTATTTTGTATTTTCAAAACTTTCCTATTTTATTACAATAATGTCAGTCTGGTAAGAACTTGCCATATAGTTATCAAACTGTTTCTCTAAAGTAGTTCAATTTAGTTTAATTCTGTCAATTAACACTTGCTAAAAAATAACAGTAATGTTAGTGTATGCGTATGCATGCTTAAGCTTGTTTAATATTTTTCTGATGATTTTTATATGCCATGTCGCATCTTTAGGGACATTTGCAACGAATCCTCAATATCGTATCCAAGTAACAGATTCGGATCCATATGATGATGACAACCTATGTACAGTGATAATTGCTGTGTTGCAAAAATATCGACGTGAGATGAAACATATGGGTATTGAGAATTTACCTATAGGATTTGCAGTTTATGATGTAAGTTTATTCTTTTTTTTTTCCCTATTCAAATAATGCATCTGAATTGATGTTGGAGTGTTAACTATTGTTAACTTTATCAATAATTTTATCGGTAGAAAAGAGAATGGCGCAGAATAATCTGATAGCTAGCATTTCCAAATTTAATGAAAACCAGTGTGGAAAGAAAAAAAAAAAAAAAACTTGTTAGGAATGATTACTTCTTTTTCTTACGGAAAAATCTTTAAACTTTCTCTTCTCTTTTAACTTTTTTCAGCAATTGTAGTTTAAATTTTTTGAATTAAAAATGAAATAAGAAGTTACTGCTAGATTTTATGGCTTATATGTTTCATGAAATTATAAAATGACTTGCTAACTCCTTTAATTTAAATTTCATATCGTATCATCAATCCTCATAATTTCTCCAGTCTCCAGTAGCAGTAAATAACAACGAATTTGCAAAAAAAAAAATGTTGAAAATATTGATGCAATACCAGAATTAATTTTTTTTCGTCCGCTGTCCATTTTTGGCTACATAAATCAGAATTTTTTTGTTTTTGTTTTGTTTTTTTTCAGGTTGGGAGCTATAATGGACGTTTAACACGAGAATATTTCCAGCAACATAAATCATGTGCTAGGAGTGCTGCGTTTATTAATTTACGAGAAGTAATTATTTTTCAATCATTTAGATTTAATTATTTAAATGAAGTGCTGCGCCAGAAATTACTTTATATACACGGAATTTTTGCGTACTTAATCTTTTTTTTCTTTTGATTTAAACTTTTAACTGTCTTTAGAGTACATAATTTCTTCCTGTTTTTGCAGATAACAGGTCGTTTTCGAATCCCACCGGGAAATTACGTAATCGTACCGTCAACATTCGAACCGAATGAGGAAGCGGAATTTATGCTTAGAGTTTACACAAATGGTTTTATTGAATCAGAGTAAGCAAATAATTTTTTGATGAACATTTAAATTTTCAAAAGAATTGAGTAAGTTATGACTGTGCAGCAAATAAAAGTATTGTTTATGCCTAACCATCTAAATATTTTGTTCAGAAACACCAAAAACCACCAGTTAGAAAATTTTTGAATTCAAATTTCTTTTTTTAGGCAGTTGTGAATTTCGGTCGAAGTATGGTTAAAATGTTTCTTACCAACATTAATTTGCTGAAAATTATTGTTCGAATAATATATTGATTGGTGCATTTATTAATTGTTCTTTCATGATTCTCACCACATATATTGAATTTTAATTTATTTTCTAATGAATTCATATTAATTTATTGTTTGTTTTTTAACAGTGATAATTATATCTGTTCACATAATAAATTTGTGAATAAAATTTTTTACAATCCACAGCTAAAATTTCAATGAAAAAATAAGTGATATTTGTTCTGGAAGACTGAGAAATATTCTTTTCCTATCCCTGTTTGTTTGTTTTCTTTTTTTTTTTTTCAATAATTTAAATTAAATAAGATATAGTTGCGTCACAAAACTTCCATTTTCGTCTGATCAGCGTTTGAATTCGAGAATTCACAAACGACCATTGAATTCAACTACACTTGTTTTTAATTTACCTGGCTAATTCGAAAGCTCTCGATCTTCGTTGTAATATCCCCAATTATAGACTAAATTCGATTGCTTCCCAGTAATACATTTAACCTTTTCACAAGATATTAGTTTAGACTGTCATTTGTTCCTGTTTCCAGTCCATCTTGTATTTTACGGGGTATCTATTTGACTTTTTGGTGTTACTAAAGGTTTCGAAGATAAATGGATGGAGAATTATTAAAAAGCGGGACCTGAAATTGATTTATCTGAGTAATTGTCCATTAAAATAATTAATTACTTGTTTACAGTCACGGATAATTCATATCATTATAAGGAGTTCAGTCGATTGATCGTTTATTTCAAGCCATAATTGATAATTTAAGTAATTGGTTGATTAAGTAATTGTAAAGGCATTATATTGTTACACTGTGCAAAATTAAAAGTAATTTCAGGTTATTTTGAAAGCAAATGAAATTTTCTTCGTTGCATAAATATATCCGTCGTGCGATCCAATATAAACGAACTGAAGTTAACAAAACTAAGTCATTCTCGTATACCACTTATGTGATAAAGGAATTTTTAATTCGATTAGGAAAATCAATTGGAATTTTATCCGTACCTGTCGTATTTATTGATGTTGTTGGCTATCCAGCAAGTATTATTGGATCATCAATGGAGGTTATTTTTTCACTGATTCTTCCTCTTTTGAGATTTCATTCTGTTTGATAAGAGTAATAGAGTAATTAGTTGTAATCAAAGGAATAAATGTTTTTTTACCCAGAGTAAAAGGAATATCTGGCTAGTGATACGCTAAATAACAGTGTTTTGTTATACGCAAAACTTTCTGTCTTATTCTAGAGAAAGCGAAACAAACATAAGCTAAGGAAGTAGGAGTTGGAATTTTGCCTTTTATCTAGGATTTCATCCATTTTTTGAAATTTATTAAATCGAAAGATTAGTAAATTTTACAAGCGAAAATCCATTTTATGTACTAATGTATTTGTTACTGATATATTCGTATATTTTTCTGCAGTGTTTATGTATCACATTATATATAGCTTACCATTTTTATTGACCTATAAGTTATTCCATTAACATTATTGACTGTTTTCTCTTAATTGTTTTGTTTAGCCAACATTATATGGTAGTAGCAACAAATGGTGGAAACGAGATATTGTTTGGTTATCACGTTTTGGTTTACAAACACCAGAAATTGGACAGATTTACACGTTTATGTATTATCTTTATCCATTTCGTTATTTGAATTTTTGAAAACATCGGTGATATTTATTTTGTTACGTTTTGGTTTCACTTACTTTCAAATTCAAAAGTTTAATAATAATAATAAGATTCTTCTAGCCCACCGAATGATCCTGAGACACGTCACATCAAACGTATCACTGCTATGGATGGTGACATAATCAGGTATTATATTTGCTTAAAATTTTCATATCAGCCCTACAATCAGGTCAAGTTTATTTTTTTAATAAAAATGTAAAAATCAGAAATTTACTCAAACATTGCAGAAAGGTTTGAGTATATTTTCATGATTAATCATATCTATTTGAGCATAATATGTTGTACTACGTTTGTTTGAAATTCGATTCTATCAGGAATGTTAGCTGCATCGAATTTAATGGCCATCTATTACGATTGTTTTAAATTTGGTATTATATAGTAGTTAAGGAAAAATAAGTACATGCTTTAATATTTATTCTAAACTTTGTATCCTTTTTAATAAATTTAGTTTTTACTCATTTCTAACTGTAGGCCAAAACGAGGACCAAGTTTTTTGGAAATACCAACTGGTTGTTATTGGATGGAATCTGACAATCCTAATAATTATTGCGATAGTAGATTGTATGGTCCGGCAAGTTTTACAGCCCGTTTTTATTTTTAAGCTATTTTTGACTAAAGTTATTCATTATTTTGACATACATAGATCTTTAATGAACCATTAATGAATTTTATAAATAACATGGTGACAATGCAGGTTTCCGGTGGATTGTTAACAGCTCGAGCTACACATATCATTTGGCCTCCGAAACGATGGTGTACCATTAAAACAGAAGTATTCGAACACAGCACTGTTCCAGTTTCAAAACGATACTCATTTTTCGGGATAAATTTTCCATGGTAATTTGTAGACCTGTGAATAATATATAGAATATGGTATTAAGAGTAATAGTGAATAGTATTAATAATAATGAAATAAGATTAAATATTTGCCCAGAATATTAGAAAATTATAAATATTGATAATGATTGAATCTTCAGTCAGTTTTTATCTATTATTGATAAGCAACACAACTGTATGTTAATGGCATGATGAAAGTAATGATTTTTTTTTAAAAAAAAAGGAACAGTATACAAGTGATTGAACATTCCTGTATTTAACTGCTTGCTGATCAGATCTTAGTCTGAAAATTTCCTGTATATGCTATTGGTTAAGTTAAATATTATCTAAGCATTACTGCATTTTCACATTGCAAGTAAAGTAGTTCGGCTCTGATTATGTAGAATTATTGTCTATGCTAGTATTTTGTATGGTCCAGCAAGTTGTACAGCCCTTTCTTATTTTTCAGCCATTTTTTACTAAAGTTATTCATTACTTTGACCATACATAGATCTTTAATGGACTATTAATGAATTTTATATTGCCCTGATTTATACCAAATCTCAAGTGATAATAGATTTTTTACGGTGTTTTATCTCATTTCAATGTGAATGATAATTATCATGTTTCTGTTGCCTTATTTTTATCTTACATTGAATTATTTATGAAACTATAGTATTGAAACAGGTACAACAGTTCCAGAGTAGCAACCAACTACTGTTTATATGTAAACGTCTATTTATATGTCTATTTATAATATGTAAACGGGTCAGTCAATGAGCTTCAACATCTACCTTCACTATTTTTATACTGTTCTATTTATTCGTAATAATAATAATTGAAGCTTGAAAATCTCAATCGTTTGAAATGTAAATGAAATTGCAAATTCATTGTATAGTGCTATATCTTGTTAAAATAAAATATTTTTCGAAACAAATTTTTCTAAAATATTCAATTTATGCAAAATTTGGTTTAATAGAAAGATATACAAAAGGAAGTTTTATTTTCATTTGCATAGTGTTTGAAGAAATTGCATGAATCAAACATAGAAAACTTATCATTCATCTTCCAACTAACTATGCACTAAAGTGCGGAGTATATGTGAATAATGTACAATTTATCAATAATTATACTGTACAACATAACAACAAAGAAAACGTAATAATAATTGAAGCTTGCAAATGTTAATTGATAAAAGTGAGTTTAAACTATAATAAAAATGACTCGTGAATAAATAACACGTATAAACAGTAAAACAGAACTTCATGTTGTATTCTATAATCAATGATGAAATTGGAAATTAATACTATACAAATATAAACATAACATCATTTCATAATTTTTAAAAACAGATAAATTGCAACAAATCAACTAAAAATAATTTATCCTGAAAAGCTTGAACAACAGTAGTAATATGTGTTCTAATGTTTTATGAAGTTCGCTGATAATATTTCGTAAATCTTACTGTAATATGTGCTATAAAATTTTCATACCATGAAAAATGATGACATTCTCATGAATTGAAAACTTATAACTGAAAATGATTTGAAATAAACTTTACCATGTTCAAACCATCGGGAAAAATTCGGTAATTTCCATTATACTACTTTTTCTAATGGTATAAATCACTGCAGAATATTATCAGTAAGATCTACAAAATGTTGTCGTCGAATTGTAAGAAAAAATTTGAAATTAAAAAGGAAAATATAGTCATTCCATAACTATATATCGTGGAACTATTCATTTGGAATGGTCTGTTAAAAAGAAAAAGGAGAAAAAAAGAAAACTGAATTAAAAGACTCGGATTAGAGAAATTCCAGTTCTGCTTAATCGTTCATATCGAGAAGCCATTCTTTTGTTAAAGCCAAAGAAATTGAAGCATTGATTTTTTGCTGCTTTGCATGCAGCTCGAAGTCTTTTAACCTGAAATTTCACCATAAATATGTGAAGTACTAACTTGTGTCCAAATCAACGAATATTTCACAAAACTAAAATTGCCTTATATATATTATAATAATATAAATTTTACTAAATTATAATGAAATTAATTAATGGAATTGTTTCGATTAAATATAAATTGGATATTTTACTTTACATTACTATTTTGTGATGATATACTTCACTAAAGTGTATGTTTAAATAAAATATATTAGAATATTGAAGCATACACTGAGGAAAGTTCATTTTTTTCTGCCGATTTCGATATAGAATTATTTGATTTCCCACTTGCTATTTCTGCAGCTTCCAGGCGACACTAGAATTGATTTGTTAAATGGAAAAATTTTTCTAAAAAGTAATACAATTTAATTTTCCAAATGGAAAACTAGAAAATATTTATAAGGTTAGAAAATTTTTCGGAAGAAATTTCTGAGAGAAAAATTTTTTAAAACTTTTCTTGCCATTGATCATATTTATTCTATTAAAGATTACAACAGAATATGATGCATTCTTACAAATAATGAATAATTACCTCATTGGTCTGCTCAGTGATAGCAATTAACTGGAGAGTTTCGTCTAATTGCTTTTTCGTTTTGAAAAGTTTATGTGATAAATCAAACATATCTCTAAAAAATTAAAAGCAACGTATCAGAGCATATTCTCAAGTAATCAATCTAACTGCAAATGTGATCATTTCAACATAATGTGCAGGAGAAAATAATTTTTTGAATAAAAGGCAAAAATGTTTAAAATTTCACCAATGAGTGGTTTACTATCACATAATTCGTAAAGTTTAAGAAATCGCTTTTTTTTTTTGAGAAAAAGAGATGGAAAGAGAAAAAATAAGAAAAATATGAAATAAATTTATATCGTTAATTTATCAAAACAAACGATGTATTGTTGAATAAGAGAAATCGCTTTACTGTATATCAATTTTTGGAAAAAAATAAACAGCTAATTCTGAAGGATGGGAATTGAAAATATGAGATGGACAAAATATGATTAATTTCTGACAAAATTTTGATAAATCATAAAATTCGAATTACAGAAGAATGAAACAAATAAATATAAAGCTTACCTAGCTATCATTTGCAATGGTTCTACGAAGATATCACTAAGCTGCTTCAACTTTTCATCATAATTTCTCACTACTTTTTCATAAGAATTCAACAAATATTTCCTGTAAGCAATTTTCTTTCCACAAAGAGAATAAGATATTTCATATTCCATAACACATGATATATTGAAAAGAGAAATATTATATTAACTGATATTCACGAATAAATTATTGCGTAAATAAAGAAGAAACTTACCTATCGGCCTCCATTTGTAAAGCATTTTCTGAAGCATGGCTATATGGTAAAAAAGTTCGATATTTCTAGAAATAAAGAAAGTGCAATTTGAATGCTCTTATATTTGGGGTATATCTGACAATACTTATTAAGCATATGATTGCATAAATGTTTAAGCCAGCATGTGACATCGAAAAAGAAAAAAATATAATAAAGCATATATATTTTAAGCTTTTTTCTTAATAACATTTCTTATGATACATACATATCAATTATATCTTAGCATACATACACATTCATTATATAAAACAATTACTTAAACAATAAACATACCACAACCGTTTCAAGTTCACCTTTCAAAGATGGTTCTTTCACAATATGTTTTGACTCAATAACAGCAATACGTACATCAATTTGTTGCAACATACTACATACCCATTTTACTGCTTCTGTAAAATGTTTCCAAAAAAAAAAAATTGAAAAACTAAATAAATTTTTGTCGTATCAAAAACAAAAAAAAATTACAATCAAACTTTTTTGCTTTCTTTTAATTATAAAATTCATTATTCAAATTCTTTAATCATATTAAAATTCATAAAGCTCGTTCACTGCTATGGCAACAATGATAACTTACGTGATTCTGATGCATCAATGGAATTAACTGATTTATTGGTTACTTTAACGTTCATATTTTTTTCACTATTGAGCAGTTACTTCTCAGTTTACTAATAAATTGAAAAACAATAGCTACAAAATTTCGATTAAAAATGTTGCAAATGGGAAATAGTTGATTATAGTATGATTGTCTTGAACACGAAACTGCATACGCAATGCATTCGACAAATGGTCATATCACATTTGAAAAGATAAATCAACTTGAACTAATCGATAATCATAATCATTATCATTAGTTACATATCATATCATTAGTCATTAGTTACAACAAATCATGATAATTTCAAACATACACATTTCAAAAAAAAAAAAGAAAAAAATAATAAAAGAAAAATAACGCACCGCCGATAAAGTTCAATTCTCGTGCAACCGAATGTGCATTATTTTCAACCGCTTTACGTTCCTCAGCTGTTTCCTTATTCAATGCAATTGCCTTAGACAATAAACGTAATTGTTTCGCTAAACGGCTTGCAAAATTGCAATCATGCGCTAAAATTTCAGCTTCTTTTAATAATTTGGCATATACTGTACGCAAAATTCCAATAACAGTTGGTATTGCATCCTGTAATTCATATGTTTGTCGTTCCACACTTAACGTACTCGCAGCAGCAAGTTTCATCTCATGAAAGGTTGGCTCATGATTACATTGCGAAAACGGTGAATGAACTGAAAATTGTATCAGATTTGAATTGATCATGAATATATATATGTATATCGATCGCTTATTTATTCACTTCAATTAAAAGCGGAAAAATCATTTTATGTTACGAATGACATTTACATTAAACATCATTAAACAACAAATTCTTCATAATATTGAAAAATTGATTTTCTCTTCGTTATATAAAGTTTAATCATTAGCTATTAAACAAGATATTCGGAAAGGGTAGAAAAGAATGTGAATGTGACTTGAAACAACGAGACTAGTGTTAAGCATTTTGCTAATGATTAAAAAATAAGTACCGGAAGGATGCATTAAGCATGCATGAACTAATACGAATTCTAACTTTAAATATATATTAAATTAGATTAGAATATGAAACATAAGAAGGACAACTCACCGATTAGTTCCGGTAATTTGATCGGTAAAGCATAAGTTTCGTTATTCTGCAATCCCATAACAATAACACTAGAACAGTGATCGATCAAGCCCACAGGAAATGGAGGTGATTTATAGACAACCGCAGAACCAGTAGGAAGTGTTAACAGACAGATTAGATCATGCGCTGGCGTATCAGCTTTCACATAAACATCAAAATAGGATCTAGAAAAATACAAAGACCAGGATATTCAAAAGTAACTGATATTACAAATTAACATATCGATTTTTTTAGAGTCAAGATAATTCCTTTTTGAAAACTTAAATTTTTCAAAAAAAAAAAAAAAAAATTCTTTAGAAGTTTCTGGATTAGGAATTTCTCAACCTCTCAAAATGTTCAACAGTTGAAGTATCGAAGTACTCCTCTAAGCACAAAATGTTCATCTTAAAAACAAGTATTCGTTTCATATTTAACAGTTCTTTACACATTTCATCAAATTCGTTGAAAGTGAGACGAGTTGCTTCACGTCTATCAAAAAGACGCCGAATAAATTCACTCAGAATACGACGAAAACTCCTGAAAAACATAACTACTTAGTTCGTTTTAACTAATAATAAATATTGTTTTACAAAAAAAAAAAAAGACAAATATTTCCATATCTGTAACTAAATACAACAGATTTTTTATTTGCTAAGCAAATTTTCTAAAGTTTCAGAATTCATTTAGAAAAAGAAAAGTCATATATATATATAGGAAACAACTTACTTTGGGTATAAACAACGTCCATCTGGGAAATCTTTCTGCCATAAAAATTGACCTGTCTCACTCACCCTACCAAATATGGCATCTGATGGTCGACTAATCATCATATTATACATTCCAGGTGTATCTGCTGGTCCTAAGAAGGAATCAACAAAGGACAAATAATGAAATGCCATTCGAGGATGAATTCTATTTTTGATGAAAGTTTAGATCATAATGGATATATTGAATTGAGTAAGTGTCAAATAATTTTCAAAGACAATTTAACCAAAATTTTATAAAATCATTAATCTAATTCAGATTGATAAATTTTATTCATGTACATATATTTTCATTCATGTTTACCTTTTGCTGGTACAAAGGGCAGAATACCGGTTGCACATTCGAATAACGTACAACCTACTGACCACAGATCACATTCATCTTTTGTATAAGTCAAGGTCGTTGTTTTACGAGCTAAATTGGCAGTTGAATATTCATTCTATAAAAGAAAATAAGTGATATCAGATAATAATAAAATATTTGATCATAATATTATTATGGGCATTGAAGGCAACAATCCAATATATAATACATATAACTCAAAATATAAAGTAAAATTTTCTTTTAAAAAAAGATAAACGAATCCTTTGTATCATTTTTCCACATTAATAATATTATAAAACTTATTTTACACAAATAGGAGAAAAAAAATAGCTGACAATAACTCACAAGGTATCCCGGTGTACCACAAATGGAATGTAACGGCTGAAAGTTATCGGTAAGGAGTCGTGAACCACCAAAATCACATAATTTGAAGATCATCCTGACATGGAAGGAAAAACAGAAAAACTTTGCATATTGTCAAAATATGGATGGAAAAGCCATATATTATTATTAGTATTATTATTGAAGAGTTTGAGAACTGCAAAACTGAAACAGCTATTTTTAGAACAATTTTCTTTTTTCGAGTGAAAAATATACCTTCCAGAATTATTGAAAATTAATAAATTTTCTGGCTTTACATCTCGATGTGCAATTTTCTTTGAGTTCAAATATGATAGTCCTTTTTCTGAAAAGAAAAAAAAAAAGAAATTATCAATATATCTTTGAATTCAATGCTAACCATATGAAAACAATATGTGCATGCTTGATGAATTTATATTTGATGTAGTGTTAATTAGAAAATATTATGCACGGCAAACTGAAACAAAATCAGACGAAATAAATACATTCAGACATTTAAGTGAAACAAAATACACAGAATTGAAAGAACATAAATACAACAAAATTTGATATTGTATGAAGTGAAACAAAATGTAATAAACTAAATGACGGGAAATAAAGTAGAAATATAAAAGAGAAGAAATTAAAGTAACATAAAATGAACAATACAAGGAGGTACCGAGATGGTCGATCAACTGCAAAAGAATTTGGTATGACAGACCAAACATATTTTCCAATTTTTTCAATTCATCTCGTACACTGCCATCAGCCAATTCCATAATTAGCACCATCTGTTTAGTTCCATTTACGTTCTAAAAAACTTTGACTTTAAATTCATGTTCTAGAAAACTTCATTACCTTATTTTTAGTTACTAAATTATTATTTCTTAGTTATATTATTTTATGAACTCCAAGTAATTAATACTATATTTGACAATAGAAATGTACCTTCTGATCAATCGTATCAGATGCAATAAATCTGACGATATGTGGAGAACTTATTTGTTGTAAAATTTCAATTTCACGAGCATGCTGCTGAGTATTGAATCTATTGCAGGTTTTGATTGCCACAAATTCACCTGTTTCTTGATTTCTACCCTTATGAACCTGTTATTTAAAGAAATTAATTATTGTATCGAGAAATAACAGATATATTACCTAGCTTCGAGTTCTCAGGTAGATTAAATCGAAACAAGGCAAGTGGAATATCTCTTACCATAGTGTTTGTCATATATCATTATGTCACTTCGTCGAAAGATACGATTCATAGATAACGAACATTTCTTACTTCTAGTAAGAGATTATTACATTATAATCCTTTTCTAACACTTATTTCATTTAACCTTTTATTTCTAATTTTAGAATTTTCAATTTTAAAATTTACTCTTCCGAAAGCTCCATTGCCAATCAAATCTATGCTACGTTGATGCCAAAAAAATTTATTTGTATATTGTACACCCTCCGAAACTCCATCCATTCAGCACCTGTAAAATAATTTTCTTTAAAATGTTTTCTGTAAAATTTATCTCGTTTCAAATATTTGATTTTCGTGTTTACATCTATTCTTAACTATTAAAGAGTGCTCGGAAACCTTAAGTAAAATAAAGTTCGGATTAATTCTGAAATCTCATCCTGTAAATCTGTTCAAATCTTGGTAATGTAATTGTTCCCACCGCATGAATAAATGAATTTGAGTTTGAAAGGAAAACTAAAATTTGAAAGGAATGCAGTGAAAAAAAAAAAAAAAAAGACATTCATATTATCAACTAATCAATTTGGATAGATGAACAGATAAAAATTTGTAGAAACTATTTTTCTGTTCAACTTTTCAATCAATGATTTAAAAAAAAAAAAAATAATAACAAAGGTAGAAAAATGTAAAAAATCGAAATATAGTAAAAATAATCAGTTGGTACTCAATTCATTCAATGCTACACAAATATCATAAAATAAATGAATGAATTAATTATAAGTTAATTATTACTTGGCTAAACAAGTTAATAAATGGTGTATATTACATATTATTATTATTATTATTAATAATAATAATAATAATAATATAAAGAAATTGCAATAATATTGAATAATGATCATAGAAATCAGAAATTATAAGAAACAATGAATGTGAAACATTACCAAATGAACTTTCACGTCCTAATTTTGGACATTACATTTGCATGTAAAATTCCAAAAAATTTGTTTTCAATAATAAAAAAAATACTTTCCTATTATTTTCACTTCCATTCCATACATCATAATTTTTTTCTAGTTTAAACGTTAAATAATCAAAAATTATTTCTCTATCATAATAAATCAATCAAATCATATACTAATAGTAAAAATTTGAAACTAGGAACTTGAAAAAAAAAATAAGTAAATAAATAGAAATTACAATTTTAAATGATTACCAGCCAAATAAATTCTATGAAAAAAGAAAAATTAATATTTAAAATATGTTTGAGTTAATCATTTTGCAGTTTTCCATATAAATCATCGATTTTCACTTGCAAATCGATTTTAATAATAGTTTATTTTAATAAAATGACAAATTTAACCAATCAATTTTGTTATCATTTCTCTAATAACTATCAAATTACATTTCTTTGTTTGTTGTCTGTGTATGTGTGTGTGTGTTTGTGTATGTGTCTGTAATGTTTTTTCTTTTTTTTTTTTTCAATTTCAAAAAAATTGATAATATCAAACTTATCATCAATATTTGTTAGAGTGAAGAAGAAGGATAAATATATGGGAAAATGGAATGATAAGGAATTGAGAGAAATGATAAGAAATTGATGGCTTAGGAGTAGTGTGACAAACCGGACATTACAACCAATATTGATGAATCACCAACAAGTGAAGTTGAGAGATGAACAGACCACTTGGCACCATGAACAACCATCAATCTACCTTCAAACCAGATTCTATTTCATGTTGTTCCTATTTTTCTTTAAGAAGCGCTAATTTAAATTCATTTAAATGTTTGAAAAAAGAAGAAAAAAAAAATTCATTGATTCATCTTATATTTTTTTTTTTTTTACACTGAAAATGATAAAACTTTTGATATATTTTTCTGATCAGTCAATTTGATTGATTTTAATGAATGAAAATTTTGATTTAGTCTTAATCTTAACCCATTTTACAACTTAAAGAGTACAAAGAATTGATTCATTGATTGATTGATTGATTGATTGATTGATTGATTCATTGATTCATTGACTGATTCATTCATTGATTAAATATTGCTATAATTGGAAGAGAGAATGAAAGAGAGAAAAATAAATAAATGAAAATGAAAAGTCACAATGAGTCGAGACAACCTATACTGCTGGTAAATCGATAAAAGAAAACTGCAAATGAGTTGCTCCACCTCAAGTGACCACTGTCCATCTGCACATAAACACACACACATATATATGTCAGTGGTATTCGCATTCAAATGACCAATACTAAAAATCGATCAGCAATAAAGACTTTACTTATATTCTCACTCGATCATATGATTGGTATATAATTTTATAAATAATAAATAATTTCAACTTTGAATGAATTAGTGTAATATATAAAGCAATACAAAAAAAAAAAAATCTTAGCAATATAAATTTAAATTTAATAATTTACAATCTTTTCTTATAATTAGAAATAAAACAAAAAACAAAAACAAATATAAGTATTATAATTTGATATGATCGATCGAATTCATCCAAGATTATTGCTTTTTATTTAATTTATTTAAACTATGAAGCATGTTTGTATTAATTGAATGATTTTTTTTTTTTTTTTTTTCTAATATAATTTAAAATATTCATCAATTTTTAGCACTTTTCAACAATTCATTAAAAAATGATTGATTGATACAGAAAAAAGAAAAAAAAAATTGTATTTTATTGAGAAGTTTTGTTTTTTTTTTTTATTTTCATTAATTTCATATAATAAATTTTTTCATTGTTTCATTTCAAATTTTGAAAAGAAATTATTAATTTAATTTTAAAAGAATTTTTATTTTTTCACAAATTTATAAATTTCTCGCTGAATTTTATGCTTTATTTTATAATTTAAAATATTGCTAAATAATGAGTTTATGTTTATTAAAAACTAAATTTACCCGTAACAATCATCGAATCAGATCTTTTAACTCTTTTTTTTTTTTTGTTTTTCCCCGCACTTAATTTTGATGTTGGGTGAAAAAAAGGTGAATGAGATGGGTAAAATTGGTTTTTGTATAATTGTCAAAATTTATTTTACAAAAGATATCACACAAAAAAAAAGAGGGCTATTTAAAACGTTTGGCCGTTTGATTGAAATTAAAAAGAAAAAAAATATTACAAAGTTTTTAAATTTTCAAAATTTCAATTTCGCTACTTTTTGCATTTCTATAATTCACAAATTTTTAATGTTTTTTTTTTTTTGTTTGTTTTCAATCGACAATTTAAACTTTATTTTTCAACTAGCAGCCAATTGAAATTTGAATATTTTAAGTCAATATGTGATATGATCCCAATTTGAAATAAATACGTAAATGGAATATTTATGATATAAATTGATTTGATCACATCGAGAAATTAGGCTAACTGTTGTAAATAACAAATATTCGTATATATCAAAATTTAAAATCAGTGTAATGAAGTGAAATATTGGCTAGTTCAATTATAATTTAAAATTGATAGAGAAAAGGATCTGAAAGATGTGATGATTGATAGTTTATGCCCTAATTTAATACATTCCTTCTTCACTAATCAGATGATAAGTTTTATTTTGAAATTGGAACATATGGGAAATGCTTGGATCAAGTTTGTACTATAATATATTTTCGTTGTATTAATTTTGTTTAAAAAATTTTCCATTTAAAACTTAAGTTTTTATTTGGTACTTTAACATTTGATTTTAATCTTAATGCTTTATTTTAAATTCCAATTTTTTTTTTTTTTTTGCCAATTCAACATCTTTTCATATCTAATAACTAGTTTAAAGTAGTAAGTAATGAATATGATCAATTCATTCAGTTCTATTAATCCTTTTTTTTTTTCTTTAATTTTAATCACTGCTTTTTTTAATTTTAATTATTAGTGTGAAATGCTAATGCTAATACAATAATTATAGCATTCATCCTCATCAATTTAATTTGTTATTACTGTTATATGAGCAATTACTGATGCTATCAATGTTTAATTAATTTTTGAAAAAAAGATAAATATCGTTTTTTTTTTCAAATTTCAGTTGTTCTATCACAAATGACAATACAGGATAGCATCCTTCAACTAATTATCATTAATTTATATCTCATCGTTATCAGCCATGCTGTAAGTAATTAAATTTTCCTTTTAAATTTTAAATTACTTAGAAAATTTTAAGATATAATTTGTATAAATTTTGATAATCAAAAAATGATATGCAAATTATTACGAACAAAAAATAAGATATAATCACATATATTGTACCAATTTTTTTTTTTTTTTTTTTTTTTGTTTGAATTTAAATAATACACACATTCATTAATTAATAAAATTTGAGATAAATAATGTTTAAATTATTAAAATTAATAAATTCATTAAAGAAAAAAAAAAGCAAACAAACAAACAAAGCAAAAAATATATGTTTTATTATTTCCTCATAAAATATCCTTAAAAATTTATTAAGATGATATTACCATCGATGCATAATGAAACATTGTTATCATTGGAAAATGGAACACAACAACGAGATCAATCACAAATATCACTAAATGATCAATCACTTGATTTGTTATCAAGACAAAATATTGCAGTGGAAAAAAAATGTATGAAAAATGAAGTGTGGACTAATTGTACTGGTTGCGAATTAAGTTGTGATGAGGATGAATTTGTTTGTTTCATTTCTGATTGCTTTCATATCATATCATATCATTGAATATTAAAGTGAAAGAAAAACAAAATAAAAAATATTCAATTCTTACAGAAAAAAAAAAAATGCTAAAATTGAAATTTATTATTTTTTTGATTTTGAAGTTATAAAAGAAAAAAGAAAAGAAATATTATTGGAAATTATTTGCATTTACATTATGAAATTAAACTTTTTTTAAATAAATTCAAGAAGTTCTTTTTTTTACTTGAAAAAAAATTTTTTTATTATTATTAATTTCTTAGCTACAATGTCAAAATATATGCTATAAACCGGGATGTGAATGTCCAGCAATTTTGGGATTTCGTCGAGCATCAAATGGAAATTGTATTCAGAAAGAGGAATGCCCATTGGAAGATAATAAGTTTTTCGATTATTTCTTTTTTATTAATTCTTAAAAATTTGTTATATTTTAAAAAGTTCCTTTTTTTTTTTTTGAGTAAAGTTATTGTTAAAGTTAAAAAAAGCTAAAAATTTATCGAATTTTACTTTTACAATTAGTTCATTTTCTTTTTTTGCTTTTTGTTTGATATTCCAATAATTTTAGCGAATATATTCATTACTTCATTTAATTGTTTTTGCTTACAATTTTTAATGTAAAAAAAAAAAAAAAAAAAAAATAATCTAGATTTTAATGAAAATTGATTAATTTAAGGAAATAAATTAAAATTAATTCAGAAAACAAAAGGGTGAAAGAAAATAGTTTTTTTTCATTCAACACTTTACATAATTTCTTATTTAGCAATAATTAATTGAACAATTAACAATTAACAAATTAGAAATGTAAATGTATCATTCTATTGCAGATAAATAATTATGAATTTTTAAATTTAGTACTAAAGGAATGTTCAATAACGGAGGAATTCAAAGAATGTGGAAGTGTTTGCGAAGAAACTTGCGATGATTTTGGACAACCGATAGTATGCAGCAAGCAATGTTTAGCAGGTTGTTTCTGTAAAGAAGGTTATATACGTGAAAAGAAAGGTGGTTGTTGTATATTACCGGAATTATGCGATACAAGTAAGTTATACAAAAATTAATATCATAATTAAATTTCTTTTATTTTTTTTTTTTTCCAGATTTTGAAGGTTAATTTTAGAGATAATTGAATAAAGACTCAAACTTGATTGAAGTATAAAAGAATTTCAACTTTATATTATTGTTATAAATTAGAAAAACGAAGCCGAATATGTGGACCTAATCAGGAATACCGAAAATGTGGTACAGCTTGTCCGAAGACATGTAATGGTTTGCCGGAAAATTGTACACAACATTGTGTTGATGGTTGTTTTTGCAAAGAGGGTTATGTTCTGGATCTTGATAAATGCATTCCGGAAGATAGTTGCAAAGGTAATTTATAAATGATTTTGAAATATATCTCTTACATAAATGACAAGTCAGAACTTTTAGTTAATTAATTATTTTTTAAATCACAAAAAGATTTCTTCCATATTTTAAGTTATTAATTTCAAGTTAACACTTCATAATTATGTATTTATGTAGGAACATTGAAAAAAAAATAGTTTAACTTTTATTTTTAGTATTTTAATTAGCAATAAAATTTGATTTGTAATTTTAATCATATTTCATTTGAAAAATGGAAAATACAAGTTGTAGAATCAAGAGAATGTCCTGAAAATGAAGTGTATCGGAAATGCGGAAGTCCATGTCAGGAAATCTGTGGTAAGCAAAAAGAAACGAATTGTAATGCTTGTATAGAGGGTTGTTTTTGCAAATTAGGCTATGTAATGGAAGAAAAAGTTGGTGCATGCATAAAACCGGAACACTGTATGCGTAAGTTTTCCTGTTAATGATTAAAAATTTTTTAAAAATAAATTCAATCAATCAGCATTTTGTTTACAGAATACTGATCGATCAATTTTTTAAAAATGAAATCGATTTTAAAAAATAAAAATTGTTTATTTATTTACTTATTACCAATGGATGGATTAAATTGAAGAGTAATATTAAGAAATAAAATGCTTTACAATAAACAATTAAATGAAATGAATAAAATGTTATATGAAGTTTAAATAGCTTTAGAAAATTCAACAGTTAATTTTTAACTTAGGAAGAATTCAATATAAAATCATAAAAGTTATTTAATTTAATACTTTGAATTACTCTTTCAAATTTTCATTTCAAAAATAGACAAAATTTCCATATAAAAAATGGGAAAAAAAAAACGGTAGAATTATAGTAAATATTATGATTGTTTTTCACATTTAAAAATAAATAAGATAGAGATAATAAAATTAAAAAAAAAAAAAAGAAATCTAATATTTTAATAATTATAAATTATTTTATAAATTGTCATTTAATTTCTTCAGAGTTTTTTTTTCTTTTTTTTTTTGTTAAATTTCAATTAATTTAATATTATTTTTATTTTTAATTAATTAAATTTTCAGCTCCAAAATATATGAAATGTCCAGGAAATGAAACTTTCACATATTGCGGTGGCTGTGAAGGGACATGCAAAATGCAATTTGTCAAATGTCCAACTGAATGTGGCTCACCACGCTGTGAATGTTTGGCTATGAAAAATTATGTTCGTAATGAATTTGGCATATGCGTTCATATTAATGATTGCATTAATTAATTATTAATAAATTTCGTTTATATTTTCATTTATTGTAATTTACAAATTAATAATAATAATAACGATAATAATAATAATATTAATAATAATAAAAATAACAATAATAATATTAATAATAATAAAAATAATAAAAACAATAATAATAATAACAATAAAAATAATAATAATAACAATAATAATAGTAATAAAAATAATAATAATAAAAATAATAATAATATTAATAATAATAATAATAATAATAATAGTTATAAAAATAATAATATTACTGTATTAACATTAATAAAAAATAATATTATTGCATTTATATCAATAAATGGTAGCATTACATCAAAGAATAATGATATTATTGCATTTGTAAATACAAACAATAATTGTGAATTTATAACAATGACCAATAATGGTACTGTATTTGCATCAATAAACAATAATATTATTGTATTTACATGAAAAAAAAAAGACAATAACAATAACGAATGGATTAAAGAACGTCAAATAATATCAAATATTTACATCAAGGAACAATAATATTATTTTATTTGCATTGAAAAACAAACAAAAACTATTGTATTTTGCATCAATGAGCAATAACCATTATTGTATTTACATCAACGATACTCAATGCAAATAAATACTATTTCACATAATTTCTTTTCTTTGTTTATTTAATTAAATTAAAAATGAATCAATAAATTCACATCCTTCAATTTAATGTGAATTCTTTTCGAATATTAATTTCTGACGAATTTTTCTTTTTCTTTTTTTTTTATAAGATTTCTATCGTTGAAGACTGTTTATTTTCGTATATTTACGTATTTACTTATTACTACAACTCATTACTGCTACTGCAGCCCTTGTTTTTGTTACCATTGTTATTTATATCTAAATTTCTATCAAAAATGCAAAATTTGGTATTTTTGAAATTCAAGTTAGGCATATACTCAACAAAATCTTTTAATTTTTCCGAATTTTTAAATTATTTATCTTATTTTTGACATCTACCTTTTTTATTTCGATTAAATTCTTTTCTTTTATTAGTTTTTATCATTAAGAATTGTTTTTTTTTTTTTTTTTTTTGCACCAAATTTCCGTTCAATTTATGATTTTTTTTTTCAAGAAGTTTTAAAATTCTAAAAATTTCACAAGCAAATAATTTTTGTTTCCTTCAGAGAAAGAGAAAAAAACGAAAAACTCATTATAAATCAAAGTTCGAGCAGTCAACGATAAAGGAAAAAGAAGTTAAAAATGAACGAATATACTTGTTATCCAATTATAAGAATTCTTAAGATCATGGGATGGAAGTTTTCATTGAGTTTTGCATAAAAGAGTCGTGCAACACGGATAATTTTTCATAAAATTTCATTTATAAAATTTCTCATCTTCTTTGCGTCATTAGAGGCATATGGTTTGTTGTTAATTTTTCGTACGTATATAGATAGTCCTATAGTTAGTTAATTGGGAAAGAGAATTATTCGATTATAAGAATGCTTGTAGAATAGTGAAATTTTCAAATTTGTGCAAAAATTGATAAATAACAATGGAAAAAGAAAAAGAATTGTTTGATTTTTTAGAGGAAATCTTCGAAACCTGGAGATTTTAGATTTTAGGAAGTCTTATTTTGTATTTTATAGAAAGTCTCACATGTATTTCCTGAAATATCTGATGTGTAGCTCTCAGATAATTTGAATTGTATCTTCTCTGTTTTTTGGTAAAGTGAACTATATTTTCATGTCGAAAAAAATTTTTTGTAAATTTAAACTGCTATTAAACTTGTTATTGTGAGTACATAATGCAATCGTCAGAGTGAAATGTGAAATTATTTTCAACCCAATAAGTGTAATATTTTTGACACTTACATTTTTTTATTGTTTCTTGCTATACTGTAAAGTTGTTTGGTCTCAGATCCACTGTTTCATTTTGTTTTGCTTGATGAAATAAGCATATTTAGATCCAATTAGTAAGAGTAAAAGACAGTAAAGTCATTAAGTTGCTGTCATTTTTCCTTGGCTTCTGGAAGCTACTGGCTTTGTTAAAATTAGAATTTATCAGTGTTAGAATAGTTCTTATGATACTACTATCATTAACTATTATTTTAGATTATGTCGTCCTTCATTAACTTTCCAAAACGTCTTAAGCCTGTGTCGTGGTACTTTGCCATACGTTGTGGATCATCGTCCACACTCGCACCGGGCCGTATTTATTCGCAGAGACACTTATTTGAAGTGAAAAAGACCCAAATGAAGGTATTTAATTGCTTATTAATTTAATTAGATCTTTAGCCAGATAATTTATTTCGCTACGAGTAATATTATTAGCAGTAATTAGTGTTTTTCGGTGTTTAAATTATCGCTCGTACATGCATTTCGGGAAAACAATGTTATTTGCTTTCTTTTTTATTTTGCTCTTGTGATTGGGAATTCAAAAATTTTCGACTTTATCCTTTGGAGTTTTAAAACTGAATTCAAAGTACTAAGTGACAACAACTGTTAAGGCGAACAATCCCGAAAAATATGCATTAGCATCAGATTTCCTAGCGCACCGAGCTGATCGTCCAAAAGACTACAAGCCAGACACGTCTGCAGGTTTTCTTAATTATCTTGAACAAATTGTGTGTCAAAACCATTATAAAGTAGTACATTTACATTGTGCAAGTAACGATTTGCATAAAAGTGCCGGACTGTAACAACACCTAATAACTTAAATGGTTACTTTATTTGTGTGTTGGGATTGTTCGGTTCATATAGACGTTTTTCCTTCACGAAGATTTTTCTACATTCCTCATTTTCTTTTCTTGTTTTTCGCTCATAAATTCAACCTTTTAAAATACTATTTGTATTTAAGTTTGGAAGTTAATCTATTTATATGATTTACAGATCGATCCATAACTCCTTCTCCACAAGAGAAAAGACTTCTTGTTCTAACTGGTATGTACAAACGTGAGTCAGATATTCCGGAATTTATCAGGTGACAAAAAATTTTACTTTTTGTCATTATTATTTCCATGATAGAGATTGGGAGAGCTGATGAGGGTGAACAGGGGAGAACCATATGAGACCAGTTAAGATTTCCAGAGCAATAGTTATTTAGCACTAGGAATGATTCGACAATTGTTTTGAATGGGTAGGGATATTTACATGATTTTCTTGCGCTGAATAATTCGACTGATTTTCAGTTTCTTCATCTTTTCTGTGGATATTTGAATTTAAGAATTTAAAATTTGTTTTAAGTTCTTTCGCATATTTCAGTGAAGTACGTATTGCAATGATGAAGGAACGTCTGAATTTTATGGTATCACTTTGCTTTTTGGTAACATTGGTCATCGCATTTTTGACGACGATAAAGACAATGTATCGTACAAGGACTATAGCAGTGGGCGACTCTTGAAAAAATTTTAAAAATCACTGATAAAATGTATAATGTTTTTGTAAACATAATTACTATTTATTTAAGCTGATAGAACTTGTAGTGTTTTTCTTAGTGTTTATCAGAAAATAAATTTCCACTTGTGGATGTTGAATTCGTACTCACATAAATGAATACATGAAGTAATGAATGCACAAAATTTGCGCATGTCAACCTTAGTCCGTTTCACTAATCATTTTCAAATGTTCAGCTATACTCTCTAGCTCCTTTAGTATTACTTAATCTTATCAACTTGGTTTCTTTTCTTTTTTCCATACCTTAGTTGGTTGAGAGATACTTCATCTATTTTTGCGTTTCGACAAACATAGGTCCGAAGCGATATTAGAATCTGCTAGAAGTGTGCAATAGTTGAAATTACTGCATATTGTGCACTTGCAAAATTCTGCTTGTCAATATTAAGTGTTGCTTATTCGATAAAAAAATCTGATGTACTTTAAAAAAATAAAAAAATCTATCAATGTGCCAATTGTTGAATGCGCAGTAGAATTTTTTCGCACTCAATGTCCATTGTTGGTGGTGGATGACTTTGCTGTATTCGAAATCCCAAAATTTCACCTGAAATACGAGACATAATTCCTACTTATTGATAACTACAGACGTTACATTTATTTGATAGCAGTAAAGTTAAAACCTTCCTTTATTACAAAAAAGAACTAAATTGACCAACGCACTTTGATTCTATTTTTGAGTAAATTTACATTTTCCTCAGTTTTGAGGAAAGTAAATTATCTTCCAGATGAATGAAAGATGATCTTTTTACCGACATCACAAATGCAATACATATGATCAGATCAAAACAGAAAGGAAATTAATAATTACTAGCAATTTTAGGTCACGTCTACTTCAAGTTTTCTAAACTTTTACTTGAAGAAGTGGTACGTCAAATTAAAGCAGATCAATAATTTTTTAATTTTAGGATGGACTGGTTAATACTATGCTAAGAGTTGACTATTGTCCACTGATCGCTCTATTTCATAATTTAATGCAAACCACTATCTGATCAAACTGCAAGTAAGAAAATAAGAAATACGCACAAACCATACCCGCGTGTAAACATATGTGCGATGGTTATTAAATTTGCAATGCAGCATTTTTGCTTATAGAAAGTTCTATTTTATCAAATTTCAAACTGTGTTAATTTGCAAGCAAAAGTTTGATAGAAACTTGCAAATATTTCCTTATCTGTTCGTCAAAACAGTAACTGACTGTTAAAAGACTAATAGAACTTAAATAACTTACTGCACTTACCACAATTTGCAGTCACTCCTTATTACTTGAACCACCTGCTGCTATTTGTAACTAATTCCTACCGTAACCACTTGCCAGTAAAACTTAAATATGTAAAAGACGAAAATATTGAATGTGTAAGTTAGAGAATAATACTTTAATGACAAAAGTAAAGGAGTGATCATTGGCGATCACTTGGAATATTCTCGCTACTTTGATGTCATCAAATACTTCCGGAAAATTCTTTTGTTCTACTTTTTGTGACAGAAGGTATTACTGACTGAGTAAGTTTTTGGCGCGGATTTTGATGTTTTACTCGTTTTAGTATCCTCTAACTTATACACATCCACATTTTTCTCTTTTGTATACTTAGGGCTTGCTGGTTTTTTTAATTGCGGTTGTAGGTTTTTCATTTAAAATTATATAAATTATTAACTATTATTATTAAACATTTGTTGCCTTTTTCTTTCTTTCTTCTTTATTATTTATACCTTTGTCCTATATTCCATTAGTAGTAAAATCGTCTACGGGATCTGTTCCATTTGTTATATTTTCGTTTTTCGTTTCTTACAATTTATTTTCTTATTTAATTTTCACTATCATTTGTTTTCTTTTTTTCAATTCTTTCTCTTTTTTTGTTTTTTGCAATAACAGTTATTTGCAACTGGTCTATTTCTATCTTTTTTACAATTGCTTGACTTTTTCCTGATTTTCTGCTGAATTAGCTTTTTTTGTACAATACTACAGCTAATGTCTCCCTTCTTTAGCAACTCACCTTTTCTTTCGCATTTTCTTGAAAAAAAATTCTATTTTCATGCCATATATATATATATATATATTTGTTATATTTATATTCATCATTTTACTAAATCTTTTTTATAACTCTTATAAAGTTAACTCATCTTATGCTTCTTATTGATTAAATCTAGCTGATGGAAGTTTTCCCTAAATATTACTTCCTTCCACTTTTTTGTTCCTTTCTTAAATTAATTTTAATTTTTTCTTTAAATTAATTCTCATAGATCGCATTTTTAATAATTTCTGTTATGTGTGACATTTTTGGTCCTTTTTGCTCTGCATGCTTTTTTACTAACTCATTATTTTAATTTTCTTTTTTTTTTTCCATGATTATTTTAATCTCATACATATCTTTTTGCTAACACCACTAATTGCACTAACTTTTTTTATTACTGTTACTTAGTAACCACTTGCTACTGCAACCACCTGCCGCAACAGCCACCTGAAACCACATGTTACCGTAGCTACTTGCTACTTTAACCACTTGATATCGTAACCACTTGCTATTGTAACCACTTGTTGCCACAACCACCTGTAACCACTTGATAACGTAACCACCTGTTACTGTATCCACATGTTGCTGGAACGACCACTTGAAACCACCTGTTGTTACAGCACCAGGTGGTTGTGACAGTAGGTGGTTGCGCCAACAGGCGGTTACAGTAGCAGGTGGTTACGATATGAAGTGGTTACAGTAGCAGGTAGTCGCTGTAGCAAGTGGTTGCAGATGGTTACAGGTGGTTGTGGTAACAAGTGGTTGCAGTAGCATGTGGTTACGATATCAAGTGGCTGCAGGTGGTTGCGGCAACAGGTGGTTACAATAGCAAGTGGTTACGATATCAAGTGGTTAAAGTAGCAAGTAGCTACGGTAACATGTGGTTTCAGGTGGCTGTTGCGGCAGGTGGTTGCAGTAGCAAGTGGTTACTAAGTAACAGTAATAAAAAAAGTTAGTGCAATTAGTGGTGTTAGCAAAAAGATATGTATGAGATTAAAATAATCATGGAAAAAAAAAAAGAAAATTAAAATAATGAGTTAGTAAAAAAGCATGCAGAGCAAAAAGGACCAAAAATGTCACACATAACAGAAATTATTAAAAATGCGATCTATGAGAATTAATTTAAAGAAAAAATTAAAATTAATTTAAGAAAGGAACAAAAAAGTGGAAGGAAGTAATATTTAGGGAAAACTTCCATCAGCTAGATTTAATCAATAAGAAGCATAAGATGAGTTAACTTTATAAGAGTTATAAAAAAGATTTAGTAAAATGATGAATATAAATATAACAAATATATATATATATATATATGGCATGAAAATAGAATTTTTTTTCAAGAAAATGCGAAAGAAAAGGTGAGTTGCTAAAGAAGGGAGACATTAGCTGTAGTATTGTACAAAAAAAGCTAATTCAGCAGAAAATCAGGAAAAAGTCAAGCAATTGTAAAAAAGATAGAAATAGACCAGTTGCAAATAACTGTTATTGCAAAAAACAAAAAAAGAGAAAGAATTGAAAAAAAGAAAACAAATGATAGTGAAAATTAAATAAGAAAATAAATTGTAAGAAACGAAAAACGAAAATATAACAAATGGAACAGATCCCGTAGACGATTTTACTACTAATGGAATATAGGACAAAGGTATAAATAATAAAGAAGAAAGAAAGAAAAAGGCAACAAATGTTTAATAATAATAGTTAATAATTTATATAATTTTAAATGAAAAACCTACAACCGCAATTAAAAAAACCAGCAAGCCCTAAGTATACAAAAGAGAAAAATGTGGATGTGTATAAGTTAGAGGATACTAAAACGAGTAAAACATCAAAATCCGCGCCAAAAACTTACTCAGTCAGTAATACCTTCTGTCACAAAAAGTAGAACAAAAGAATTTTCCGGAAGTATTTGATGACATCAAAGTAGCGAGAATATTCCAAGTGATCGCCAATGATCACTCCTTTACTTTTGTCATTAAAGTATTATTCTCTAACTTACACATTCAATATTTTCGTCTTTTACATATTTAAGTTTTACTGGCAAGTGGTTACGGTAGGAATTAGTTACAAATAGCAGCAGGTGGTTCAAGTAATAAGGAGTGACTGCAAATTGTGGTAAGTGCAGTAAGTTATTTAAGTTCTATTAGTCTTTTAACAGTCAGTTACTGTTTTGACGAATGCGTCACTTTTTGCTTTCTTTACCTATTACAAATCATTTTATAAATTGTTAAAATATTCTCAGAATCATTTCATAAATTGTTAAAATATTTGTTGTTTCAAAAATAACCATTGAAAATAACCTTTTCCTACCAAACTTTGCTAAATGTGTGCTGTTGCCAACTGATAAGCGTTATTGGAGTGTTTGTTAAATTGTTCGTTGGAATGAAGATAAAATTATCAGAACAGAAGAACAAAACATATTATTTGTAATTCTCAATAAATATTCATTTTGACATACACTTATAGTTCAGAACGTAACTTTTGGGTATTGATTAAATTTTCAAATCAAGAATATATATTAAATTTTTTGGTTTGAAAAATTTCAATACTTTTGAAGTGTATTTTTAAAATTCAAAATTGTATTTCTAAATGAAACATTCCTTAACGAATAAACTAAATAGTATATTCCATTTGAGAATACTGTGTGACATCACAGATACTTTTGCCAAATATTGTTAAGCATAAAAGATACAATCGCAAAATGTTCTGCAATATTCTAAAAATTATTACTACGATTGGGTCTCTGATATAAAGCATTGAAATTTTGATGGCAGTATGAAACATAAATTTGTGTTCCTTTCTAATTAGTACTGAGTTAATTGCTTCCTTCATTGTTTCTGTGATTACTCGTCGAGTTTCTGTAAGAGACTTTATCATATACAAAAGCTTTTATGAAAACTTTTCACGTATTATCACAATGTCATCAATTGTTGTTTCACGTTTTCCG